CGACATGAGAAGAACCAAATTGAATACCATTTTAACTAGAGATTTTTCAAAAAGGTCCAGCCTAATTCAAAGCCCTACATAATAATGATTGACTTTGAATTGTAAGCTCTCTAGAAAAATTATATAAATGTTTTATCAAACAGATTGCAGTTATAACTAAACTGCAGTTAAAGCTAATATGATATCAAGCAGATAGCAATTAAAACTAATATGATAACAAACAAATTGCAGCAAAGACTAATATGATATCAAACAGTTAGCAGTTAAGACTAATATGATATCAAACAGATTGCAGTAAAAACTAATATGATATCAAGCAGATTACAGTTAAAACTAATATGATATCAAACAGATTGCAGCAAAGACTAATATGATATCAAACAAATTGCAGTTAAAACTAATATGATATCAAACAGATTGCCGTTGAAACTAATATGATATCAAACAGATAGCAGTTAAAACTAATATGATATCAAACAGATAGCAGTTAAAACTTATATGATATCAAACAGATTGCAGTTAAGACTAATATGATATCAAACAGAATGCAGTTAAAACTAATATGATATCAAACAGATTGCAGTTAAAACAAATATGATATCAAACAGATTGCAGTTAAAACTAATATGATAACAAACAGATTGCAGTTAAAACTAATATGATATCAAACAGATTACAGTTAAAACTAATATGATATCAAACAGATTGCAGCCAAGACTAATATGATATCAAACAGATAGCAGTTAAAACTAATATGATATCAAACAGATTGCAGTTAAAACTAATATGATATCAAACAGATTGCAGCCAAGACTAATATGATATCAAACAGATTGCAGCCAAGACTAATATGATATCAAACAGATAGCAGTTAAAACTAATATGATATCAAACAGATTGCAGTTAAAACTATTATAATACAAATATAGGCATAAAAATAAATAACATAATAACATCAGATCTAATAACTTGTAAGTAAATGGAATGTACACACATACAACTGTTTATAAAATGTACAATTTACACTTCTATTTATAAGTTATATTAAAAAGTACATGAATTAATCATTATTAACCATATGAAACTCTCTGTATGTAAATGTGATATATTGCCAATTCTAGCACTTATTTTGAATAAATTTGTTATGATTTGAATAAAGAGTCAAACTAATTGTCCTCAAGTTTAAAAAACGTGTTGGTAACTGAATTTTATGAAATATCCTTATAATAGGTAGTGATTAAGGCCGTGATGGAAAAAGCTGTTGATTTGACACTATTTTCCAGACAACCAAAACAAATTTTGGTTGAAGATGTTCATATAGAATGGTCTGAGGATATCTAAAACAATTTAGATAATTTCTTTAGTTTCCTTCGAGGGAAAATCACATTTGTAAATTGAATGATTACACCTTTACAACTTTTAATTCTCTGCTAAAAAATGTTAAAATATGAAAGCAAAATAAATATGGACGTTATTATATTATATACAACACAATATTTATTTATCTTAAATCTGTTTACAAATGTTTTAGCAACTTTTAACTATAAAAGTTTTATAGTTAAGCAAGATATCTGTGCTCATCCAGGTGCTAATTTACATAAACACAAGCAATATGCTTTAAATTAAATAAAGCAGTATTGAAGATAACATAGGTCTGGTTTGTACAGTTTCAATGTATTCATTTTACCCTGTTACACTATAATTCCTAGTTCACATAATAACTTCCAAGGTATATGGATATTGTCTAAATATTTGGTAAATCGGGCTGATCAAGCTCAATTGTAGCTATGTGTATCTGAATTACAATTTCTGTAAATTGGTAGGGTAACCAGGCATTTGAATTTTCATTTTAACAACAAATCACAAGACTACATCATAGTAGTACCCTGTCATCTGTCATGTTTACTGTTCATTTTATTCAAAAACTGTTCCCAGATCATCACCAGAAGCCTCATCATTTTCAACCTTAGCAGGTGATTTTTGAAAATCAGCCTCTGAAAAGGCACCCTTTCCTCTATGTGTGGTATAAGGAGAAGGGTCTGATACAAATTTCGGTCTGGCCAATCCAACACAATTATTTGTTACTCTCAGTTTTAATTTATGTTCCATTTTATATCTTTCTTGTTCTGCTATTTTCATTTTTTCCATAGCTTCCTATAAAACATATCAAAACCTTTCAGAGAGAAATCTAAATAATAAATGTTTCCATGTGTGCAAACAATATTACTGAAACGAAGGATGCCAAATAATTAGTCAGCCCCTGAAAAAGGATAATGTACATCAAAAAACATTCAAAGATCAATTTCAACCATTGGCATATTCCTAATCCTTTGTAGAAAGATTTTTGCAACTTGTGGTGTTAAACAGAACAGGGCTTGGAGCAGCACAATTAGACAAAATAACAGTGTTCTCATCGATGACCAAGTACAACTATATAGGGGTACAAGTATATAGGTTTACTCTTAGATTCATTGGTGTTAAAGATTAACATAAGTTAAAAGTAGTAACCAACATTATGCCTGTAAGAAAATGCCTTACATTCCTCACTTAATAATCTTATATATTGAAGTTACCTCCCTTTTAAACATACTACTTACATTGAGTTTTAGATCAGCATCACTTCTTTCCTTCTCTAACTCTTCTAATTTCATCTGAGCATCTCGGATCATTTGTTCCTGTTCTTGACGTTTATTTTCTAAATCTACTCTTTGATGTCTTTCTTCATCCAATAATTTATCTTGTTCTTCTTTAATCTTCTCTAATTCTTTTCTCTTAGCAAATTCTTCTTCTAATATTCTAAATCAAAAAATCTTTTTCTATCAAAAAAGTTTCATACTGCACCAAAGGCTGCACCATTCAAATATAGCATCTATATCCTACCCACACGTTCAATCAAGAACAAGAGAAATAACTTAATTTGCTTATGGGCAAAAGCTGAAGCTTCAATTTATCACTTTAAATTCATATTTTATATATTCTAGAGGGTTTACATACAATGTGAGCACAATGAAAGCATAACATATTCTATCTTTAAAACAAACAATCTAGTACTATAAGTAGATTTGGATTGCCTAAAATAAATGCCTACCTTGACTGTAGATTTCGGACAATTTCTTCATCTCGTTTGGCTTGCCTCTCGTCTTCTAATAATTTCTCTAAATCTGCCTTAATCTCTTGTAATTCTCTTAATCTTTCCTGTTCAGCTAATCTCAATTGTTCTTCTTCTTTCAGCTTTGCTTCAATCTCTTCCCTTGCCTGAAAAATACATCTTACATAGTACAAAGTGTTCTCTGATAAAGAAAAATAAGAAAGAAAAAAACAACAATATTTTTACAAGGATAAAAAGTTAGGTTCAGGAGGATCCTATCTACCAGCTGTTTTGTTTTATTTATCTTTGCATTTACAGCTGGGTTGACTGGAATAACAAGGAAGAATGATTTATTCAAGGTCAACAGACTCTCACACTCTGACATAGGTAAGAACCCCAGCCACCTTTTGTTTGAATAACCAAGCAAACGCTATCATGTAAAGATTCCAGTACGCTAACCAACAGTAACAAAATATTCTGGTAAAGACTTATGATAGCTTTTGTTTTGATGACTAATTGTAGAGTTTTAGATTGCTTGTCTGCACCATCTCAACACAGCACTTACAAGCAGTACTATCATTGAGATTTATCTAATATCACTCTTACACAATATGAAAACTATGACATGATATTGAACTACCTACCAGTTTCTCAGACTCTAATTCTTTCCGTCTTTTCTCTAACAATTCTTGATCTTGAAGATTTCTCTAAAATATAGAAATGATATTAAGATGTCGCCAGGATGAAGTTTGGCTGAGATGGTTTGTGTCTGAAACATTTAAAATAACTGATGATGAACAAATGACATTTCAAGATTGGTGGGAGGAATGTTGAAAGGGGGGTTGCATAGAACTGAGGCTAACCCATTATTGACCTCCCCTCTCTGTAACTCAAATGAGTGGTGCTGTGAGCCCCACTTGGTAATTCTGTGGAGTCTACTTGCCCAAAAATTCTTGAAGTATCTATCCATCATATTTGTTTTTTAATATTATCCAATCAAAATTGTACATACCAATCTCTGTTCTTCTAATTCTCTTTTCTGTCTTTCAATCAATTCTTGTTCTTGTTGTTTCTTTAATTCATCCTCAGCTGTAGCTTTCCTTCTATTTTCTCTTTCTTCTTTTCTTTCTATCCAGGACTGATACTGGAAATTATAATCTTCTCCAGAATGTTTGATTGCTTTCTGGATTGCTATTAAAATAAGAACGTCTCTTTAACTTTCAGAATTTGATTTATTATGAGAGCACCAATTTTTGTTTTGTCCTTACTTAATTTAATGTTAACCACTTTATAACAACTTTTGATGGTATTGGGTCAAATTCCACAAACTACGATTAAAAAAGAATCTTCTCAGATCAAATAAGTTTAGTAACCAGGAAACAAAAACAAGACATTCATGGCCCTGTTTCTCAAAATATCTTGCAATCAATCTTGTATTTGTTTTTGATATGTAAAGTTCCTCACTTATGACTTTTGAGAAACAGGGTCCAGATCCGCAATTTAATCAGATTGAATTTACATTGTCAAAACTTTTTCTGGACTGAACTACAAGTACCAGTTGCTTCCCCTTGGATTGTTTGCTTGGTTCATTGTCTTTTTCATTGTTGCCTCACACAATAATATAATTTTTTGGGAGCAATTTTTCTTAAGTGAATTGATCCTATCTGAACAGAAGCATATAAATAAATCAACATATGAATGTTTTTGACTACAGTAATATCCCATTGGAGATAAAAAAAAAAATCCCTCTATCTGTGATGTGGGTCTGAAAGAACCTAGTTAGTGAGTTATTAGAATCTACTTGCTAATTAGAAATACTGGTTACCAGAGGACTTGATTACATTATATTGACTGATACATATACCAATACAATGATACATTAATATTAACTATGTGAACTCTCTAAAACCAAGTCACAGGGTTGCATGCATTTTAAAAATCTGCATTATTTACTGATCATTTATTACCTGAGATCCACTCATTCTTTGAACGAAGGTCAGGGGCACATAACTCATAATTTCTACCAGGAACTTTGACAAAAAATCTGTTGGGTTTACTGCCTGGTTTATCTGGGATGGACTAGGTTAAAATAAACACAAACCATGCAAAAATAAATACATAAAAACATGCTATAAAACCATATCTAGTTTAAAGTTATAAAATCAAGAGAAAAAAAAGACAAAACCAGCATAATCTAGTCAGTAAAAGATTTCTGTGCACATGGTACATGTTATTTTCTCAGGGAAAATAAAAAAAAAAAGAAAATCTAAATTGATGTGAACAAGATATTATATTTGAACTCAACAAAAACTGCAATGACTTGATACTCTCCCAAATACAACTGCATTTTTGGGAAAATAATCAATGCTGAAAGCAAATCTTGGATTTTCCGTTGAGCAAATTATAACGACCTAAAACCTAGGTGAAAACATAAAAATAGATTTTGTGGTAAGAAAAAAAAAATCAAACTACAATAACCATGCACCCATTAACCTGCACCTACCTCTACTTTGGTTTCAGTATTAATTTCAATATTGCCTTTAGAATCTATATCTTCTTCTTTCCCACCACCTAAATACTGTGATGTATAGTACATTAAACATTTACAATACAATATAAACCATCTTTCTTTCCATGTCGTCACACGATTACCATACTTTACTAAATAACCCTGAAATATAAATAATGTAATGTAAAAATGTACAAAATATAGACATTTACAATATATTGTAAACATTTTTACAATATATTGTAAACATTTACAACATAATGCAAACATTTACAACATAATGCAAACATTTACAACATAATGCAAACATTTACAACATAATGCAAACATTTACAACATAATAAACATAAATCATATAGTAAACATATGTAATTTGAAAGCTACTTGATTTTCAATGATGAGAAGCAATGCTTAATGCACCGATTTCTAAACGATTCTGTCTTCCTGGATTCTTGATCCTTGACAAAGCCTCTTGATAATGTGTAAATATAGAGAATTAATCTTCAAATAACAAACCTTTTTCAATATATCATGAAGGATATCATTTCTGATCTCTTTAATACCTTGTGACAGGTCATTACCAGGTTCTGGGAAAGCCTGTTCAATATAATGAACAAACGACACAAAATCTACTAAGACAACGTCATTATTATTAATTTTCCATCTTCCTAATTCACAAAGTCCTAATGTCTGACATAATAACTGTATAATTCGTCGTACTTCTTCGATGTCAATTCTCAATGGCAACAATAACTGTCCATTGGCGCAAATTTCAGTGAAAAAGTTAAAAATTTGCCACAATTTGTAAATATCATCATGTGACAAGTTGCCTTCTCTCGTTTTATCTTCTTCCAGTTGTTTCGAATATTTATTTCCACACAACAACCAACAAATGTTTTCTACTTTATCAACACTGTTCTTCTGATTTTCCACATTCAACTCTTCTACCTCCTTTAACACCTTCTCTTCAAAAACACTGAAAAATTCTTCAAAACTTAAATCACTTTCTTCCTTTTCATTGAGAATTTCTTCTGTTTTTTCTTTACCAAAGGCTTGTCCAACATTATTACTGAGAACCTTAAACAGAAAAATAAATTGGAATGAATCGATACTGCTGGATACAGTGGGTGTGCAATGAGGTTAAAAAGCTTGTCCACCAACAACATTAACTGACAGAATTACCAATCAGATATAATTTCTTTCCAGTGATATATGGAAGAATTAGAAATGGAAATCTGTGGAATTAAGGCTGTCCTCTCTTCCTATGTTTCTAATTCTTAACTTTGTCAAGTTAATTTGAGTTATTTTTGGAGACAACAGCATGAATTAGTGCTGATAAAAAGACCATAAGTAAAAAATCGTATCTTGACATTTGGAACAATCAGTCAGACACGACTGGCAAATTATAACCAAATGAATAACCCTCATTTTGGATAGCTAAACAAGTGTGTAAATAAGCTTATCTAAAACAAAATAATATGCACTAGATAGATATTATTTGAAAGATTGTCATATGATATGTATTTAAATTTGTATATTATATCTGATGTCAAATGTATTATCAATACTTTATCAAGATATCTGAATGATAATATTATCTATAATGATATTCAAATAAAAATGCATTTCAGTGATCAAAACCGTTGTCTTCCTATAACTTAAGTAGCACATTTGAATTTGGTTTGCCATGTCACTTGTTTAACTTTGCATAGTGTAGCATATCTGATATAAAATGTATTATATTAATATGTCATTTTGCACAATAAAAACTGATCTTTTATATACCGGTATATGCTTATACTGCAAACAATCCATTGGCCTTGTGCATAGCTTGTTAAATTGTGAGACATGTCCCAATATGTAGATTTTAATCTATGTTTGCTGCATAATCTAATAAGATCTTATATGTTCATCTTGATTACTTGAACAGCTGAGTGCTCAATCAAAGATATCCTGTATTACTTATTATAATGAAAAAATAGTTCCCAAGTTCACAATTTTAAAAATAAACAAGGAAAATTGACAATAGAAGAAATCAACATTATTCATCTTCCCTCATGCACATTTTAACTATTATATGTCATAGAGTCATAGTATATATCTCCATGTCAAGATAACTTTAATATGGTATTACAACTTATACTCTTGTCACCTTTGATGCCATCCTTTAACATAATTGTAGACAAACTTGTTTTTTGTTTTTAAGTGATACACCTAGGTTTATATGGATTCCTATTGACTGTTGAACAATATGTTAAATTGAAAAAGTTTAATAAGTATACATTATTCTTTTAGTCAAGTCATAAACATAAACTTGGAAAGTTTGAATAACCTAGGGCCTAATAACAAGAGGAAGAATATTACATGACATGCATACATAATAAAGTGACAGTTATGAAGCTAAAGAAGAATAGGGCATAGACATGTGTCACACTATAACACTATAGAGTATGATATAAGTTATTATTAATGATGAGCTAGGTGTCTCTATAATTCAAATAATAAACACAGGCAGGATATAACTTATATACCCTTACATAATATATTGAATAAATATCAGAGGTCACTGATGAGTCAATTGTTGACCTCTAATTGTCAAGAAATAACATTCTTTTATAAATTTCTGTTTTTGCATCAAGGAACAATAAACAAGGATGTACTTTCAACTTCCGAGTTCTTGAAATCTTTTTTTCGTACACACCAAAATCTTTCTAGTTTGATATTGCTACCCATATCTGTCTTTATTATGCAGTTTTTAGGTTAAATTCTATGTATATTCAGTGGGGTTTCTATGAATAATTAGGTGGAGTGAGGGAAGAGACATGTTGGAACTGAATGATAAGACATTTGAGAAAGGGGGAGGGGTCGGCAAAGCTGGGCCAACCTAATGTACAGTAAAGTGCTTATAGAAATTCAAATTCAAGACGCTTAGCGCCCATAAGTTTATCTGAAATCAAGCAAAATCAAGACAATTAATTAAAGAAAAAAGGATAATATCATCTATAATGATATTCAAATATAAATCCATTTCAGTGTGTCTTCCTATAATCGAAGTAGCACATTTGATTTAGGTTTGTCATATCCTGTGCAGAAAGGTTTAACGAAGGAAGACAAATGAACTCAATTCAAGACAAAAACAACTTCATTAAGGATATTATATTCAGGAAGTTTTTAATTTGATTGTATTTTAATACTATAAATCACGAAGAATCACCTGTATGACCCAGTAGCTACAATTTCTTTAAGGATAAGTCAAAAAGGATACAATTTCAAATGTTGAAATGTATGAAATTGATTAAACTGTATCCTGTATGTCATCCTGTACTCAAAGCCAGTTTAGTACATATAATTTAAATAGCATATTTGATACATTTTCTTTTAGGTCTACTTGTAAGAGTGGGTGATATGTTTTTCTTCCACCATAGGTAGCAGTTTCTTTTCTGAATTTCCAATTTTTGTTTAAACTGTAAAATGCATTAAAACCATGTAATTTTTTTATCCATCAATGTAATTGTATATGTATTTAACTTAGTCTATTTGAATTGGTTAGATTACAGATCAAATATAATAAATCAAATAAATATCCTTGTAAGAAAACCTTTTGAATTTTTAATTCTATCTGTGACAAATTGGTCAAGTGAATATCTTTACAATTTGGCAATATCTCATAGTCAGCTCAATAAAACGAATAAAAGGAAAGTACAAGTATATTCCAAGTTTCAATTGTATAATATGTATACATTAGTTAATCTCCTTGTTAAGAAAACAGATCTACTATATCTATATAGAATCTTTTAAAAATTTATCAACTTCCTTCTTTAAGACTAAGTGGTTTTATAACCCTTCATACCCATTCCTTTACTTTCAATTATATACTTTTTAAGGTCTGCATTTATACAACAATTTGATTGACATGTGCTTGATTATTAGTGGCTGTAAGTTTGCATCTCATTCAAGTGCTGACATGCAAATTTGTGTAGCGCTCCATATTTTTATAGCACATATCATGAATCTACTGATAACAAAATGAATAAAAAAATACAAAAAGTCCAAGAGCTGAAATGTCCAGGTACTGAAGAGTATTTAGTATTCAGGATATTGCTGCGACTTTAATAAGAGTTTGCAAAATGTTTCAAATGTTAACAAACTCTCTCAGCTCATACTTTATCTAATCCAGGCTAGACTTTAGTTAACATACTGCAGTAAAAAAAATTAGTGACCAACAAGTGTAGTAGGTTTCGGACTGTATATCTATTGTAGTTCCGTTTAGCGGTGACTGGCCCATTTTTTTTTTAACAATAACGCAGATAGTTAGGGCTTGGTGTTATCTTTGAGGAATAATAAGACATCGGAAATAGTTTAGAATTACATTACCTTTAAGCGAGATTTTTGAACCTTTCCAGAATTTGTAACATCTAAAGCATTAAATGCGTGCCATAAGTTTTTCTGTATATTCCTCAGCGCCATTTTGACAATAGAATGGTCACGTGATACTTTGTTATCACACGTGACCTGTAATCTTGAAGTCTTCACAAATTTTTTACTATAAATTTTGATTAATAAATTTTTGCTAAATCTTCAATATAATGTTTCTTCAAGCCTGTCTTTTTAAAACTTATCAATCCGTAAGTCAGAAAGTAAGTAAAAATACTACATTGATTTGTTGTTCAAGGATTGCACCTTGAAATGTTGATATATTCTGGAAAACATGCTTGATATGATGTTTGTGGTAAATCTTTAATTAACAAAAAACTCAAATTTTCACATCAATCTTAGTTATCTTCACTGATTGTTTGTCAAAAAACATATGTTTCTATACAAGGTTGTAACTCAATATATTTTGATCTAAGCACATAGAGTTTAATTCTGTTGCTTTGATACAAATACAATCTTGTAATTATCACCTTTCTTTTTTTTTTTCACTATAATGCTTAAGACATCTTGGATGAAGGTGATTTTAAAATGTACAAGAAATTCAAAACAAATTCTCAAAAGATTCCATTCCAAAGATGCAAAGAATTTGATAAAACAACATACAGAGATTAGTAGAGATCACTTAACTCCAGAGATAGCTCTACATCTAATAACACAGAATTGTCAACTGTGGCACTCCCATCCTGATACTTGTCCATTTATTGACCCTTTCTGGGCATTTTATTGGCCTGGAGGTCAAGTTCTCTCTAGGTATGTTTTAAAAATTATCATATCTTTATCAGTGATAATAAAAAATGTAACTGCAGTGAAAATCGTAACGCATTTTTCTGTCTGTGTAATGTTTTATATATTAATAGACTGCATGGAACATCATGTTGACTACAATCAAAGAAAGTTTGTGCTTTTTGTCCCTCACTCTGGCGGCATCAAACGCTCGGATAAGCAATTATTTTCAGGCTTTTCTGTATTGCAGGTATATTCTGGATAATAAAGAATTATTTGAAGGAAAGACTGTGATAGATATTGGTGCTGGTTGTGGTGCTACATCAATAGCTTGTAGTCTAGTTGATGCTCATCATATTATAGCTAATGATATAGATAATGGTAGGCATTTTACAGATTCAAATAGAAGCATTGGCTGAGGTTACAAAGAAAGGTACAAATCAAATTAAAGGTATATACATAAAAATTTGAATCAATGCAATGACAAAATGCTTGAAAGAAGCAAAATTCACACATAAATTCTGCATATTGAGGTCTAAGATCAATGAAAATCTTTTGTCCTTTCAGTTGCTTGTGAGTGTATAGAATTAAATAGTGAATTAAACAAGACTTCAGTGACCACATCAGCAGTTAATCTTTTGGGAGGAAATGACTTAGAGTGTGATATTTTATTATTGGGAGATATGTTTTATGATGAAATTACAACAAATACTATCAGCGATTGGTTAGATCATATAGGGTCATGCCCTACAAACATTCTTATTGGTGATCCTGGCCGTCACTCATTTAAAAATCATCCAATGAAAAACAAGTTAGAGAAAGTTGGGACTTATGATTTGCCTGCAAGTTGTGTGTCAGAAAATAATGGTTTTACTTATGCTAGTGTTTGGCAATATAGGCCTTCTTGATAATAAATATTAAAAATAAATAGATTGTATAAAAATAATTTATTTCTAGAACATATTTGACAAAGATACATGTAGAAGACAGAAGAGAAACACATGTTCAATAAGTATTTTAATCTATTTACCTTGAACAAAATACAGTAGAACTTAAATCTAGTTTATATTCATGGATATCAACAACACTCATAAGTATATAATATTAAATGATTATAAATATACACACTAAGGCCAATTTCTCCAATAAAGTGTCAATTTATAATTTAAAATATTAAAACAGAACTTGAAATTAAGTATGTTGTTACCAGTGAAACTCTTGAGGAACAACATGATTCAAGTTTTGTTTTAATATTTTTATATTTTTCTACAATGGATGTATTGAGCACTATTTAAACAGTGAAAATATTTTATTATTGTACCATTATTAAAACAAAATAAACACAATTTGCTTATTCCAAGTTTATGATTCATATAGCACTAATTATATTACACTTTAACAAATATTAACATGATTTGATTTCATTCATGATTCTTTAATTGATTATATTACATTAAACAGGTTAAATAATCATTTCAACATGAATAGCTGATTTATTCAGTATCACTTTTAGTAGATACAGTAATTAGTAAATATAACAAAATAACATAAAATGGCATAATTTTGCAGCTCACAGATCAATAAACACTTTGCATAACTCACAATATTGAAAAGACACATTGCCTGTGATAAGGTTAATCATATAAAGAGAATCAGACATGAGGGTCAAAGGCAAGTGCTATTAATCATGTACCTGGGCTGTCTGTAAAGTTCCAAAATTGTCACAAGACGCCAGGAAACTCACACGATTCTGGACCGCTGTCAAAATTTGCCGTTCTTATGTCTATGATTCATTAAATGTTCATATCTGTAAGTGGAAAAAGTTGGTTTCAATCCAAATACCCTACTCAAGCTTGGAACTTTTCAGCCAACCCTCATAAATAATGCACAGTGGTATTTATTTTGCAAGAATTTTACTGAAGAGAACAACTGTCATAGTTTATAATTTAGAATTCACAGATTTTGCGTATTCCATTTTAGCAATGGATCTAAGATGTACTTCATCAGGACCATCTGCTAGTCTTAACACACGAGCCCAGGTAAAAAATGATGCTAGAGGAAAATCAGAGTTGACACCAGCTCCACCATGCGCCTACAAAAATAAAATACATTTTGTAACCTATGTAAAGTATGAAAGAACTTCTGCTGTTAAAGTTAGCAAAGATGTATATCATATGTACAGCTAATATTGATATAATATGATCCCCTAGAGTCGGGCGGTATGTGTCTACTGTAATAAGCACTTAACTTAAATATCTGATATGCACTGTATTTGAATGGCCAGTCCTATATTGCAATATATTATGCCTAAACCTTCACTAGGGAGGGGTATAAGGATGGGACAGGGGGGTATATAATACTGTCAGTCTTTTCTACGTTATAACTGACTTAGTCAAAAAGAAACAAAGGCCGATTAAAACCACTTGAATGAAATCAGAAGTTGTAGTGATATTTTTTATATAACATAGCCGTCCATGATGTCAATATGTGATTGCTTGTAAACATATTAAGATAACAATGCATTATTTATTAAATAAAAAGGTGCAATAATTGATCAAATACATTCTAAGGCATCAAGCTCTCAGCTTGGAGGATGATTTCACAAAAAGGCTATCAAATATCTGTAGCCATTACCTGTATTGCCCTATCTATAACAGTCTGTGCCATATTAGGTACAGCTACTTTAATCATAGCAATTTCAGGAGCAGCCACCTGAAATAAACAACAACTACAACAAATCAACACTTGTTTATTTACAATGTTCAAAAAAGATCTACTCCAAAGTAAGCAAAGCATTATTTTGACAAATTACTGAAGACATTCTAACACTATATGTTCATTATCTGTAAAACATACTGCTGTAGCTAGTCGGCCAAAAAAAATAATAAAAGGAAGTCATACCTTATTACCATAAACATCCATCATATGAGCAGCTTTTAAAACTAATAATCTGGCTTGTTCTATTTCCATTCTGGATTTAGCTACATCAGACTGTATAGTGCCCTGAGCTGCTAGGGGTTTACCAAATGCGATCCTTGTCTTTGTCTGAAAATATGATTTGACAAAATTTTCTGCTCATGAATATTCCTGTTTTTGTATATTCTTTTCATTACAATGTACACTCAATTTTTGATTGAAAATATTCCCTCTTCAGTAGCGTTTCCCAAATTTCTATTTATTTTACTTATGGAAATAATTGATTATGTGCCCCCCTTGACAATTCTTTGACCCTTACAAATGATTCCTCGATATGCCACCATCCCTTATGAAATACAAGATTTTGAAGCCTTAATTTTAAATACCATCAGTCTAACTTTTTATGTACTAAATCTAATTTTTATTGTCATCTGAAACCATGTAACCAATAATGCTGGCAAAAAAGAAATTGTATTGAAGATAATCATTATTTACCCTAGCAACCATCAAATCTAAGGCTCGTTCAGCATGTCCTATTAATCTCATACAATGATGAATTCTACCAGGACCCAGACGACCTTGAGCTATTTCAAATCCACGACCTTCACCCAATAATATATTATCAGCTGGTACTCGTACATTTTCAAACATAACTTCTGCATGACCATCTGGAAAATAACCAAAATGGGATATGTGGTTGGTAATTTTCATGTCCAATTAGCTTTCAAGAAAGTTGCAGTTAAGATTTAACATGACCCAATTTAGTAATCTATAGAATACTTTTCATTTAAATAATTTGAGATTACAAGGAAGATGAATACAAGATGATGAAGACCATTTATTCATTGATATCTGAACATTGTCTTGGATATGAACATGAATGAAGAGGCCCTTTAATCTGGTAAAAAATTGTGTCATTTTGAAGCTTGAATTTAAACAAAGAGAATTGCAGAATTGAGAGTTACTGTAAAGGATAACTTACGTGGTGCATCATCATAACCAAATACTAATAATGGACGAAGAATTTTAACACCAGGAGCATCCATTGGTACTATAATCATACTCTGTTGTTTATGTTTAGCTAATCCCAAATCAGTTTTACCCATAAATATACACAATTTACACCTTGGATCATTAGCTCCTGTAAATTATAGCATGATATAGATTGTTTCCATATAACAATAACTTTATGGCACTGGAACTTGCCAGAGAAAAAACTACTGGGTCAATTGGTTATAGTGTACTATGCAAGGTGCTTAATGATATGACTGCACCAAGCCATGAGTGCACCTTCACCAGTTCTGACTGTATTCAAGAAATGTGCAATATGGATATAATTACCCACATGAGCTTTAATATTTTGTATAAGGCAAGAAAGATAATACATGTTTGTAATAAACCTTGAAACATTGTACATATGATATCCTTATTAAATATTCCTCACAAAGCAGACCAGTTTGCAGGCTAGTTTGAATCAGATGGATTCTGAATTATTACTATTATAGATGTTGTTGGAATATCAATGTAATGCAAACCTGATGTCCACCATTTATGTCCATTAATAATATAACTATTGCCATCTTTTCTAATAGAAGCTTCAATGTTAGTAGCATCTGATGAGGCTACCTGGAAAATATATAGATATCATATAAAACATTACTATTTCATTTGAAAGTTACATGACTGATTAAGTCTAAATAAAGTTTCTTAACCTTGAAGCCATGTCTCTTTGTTATTACACTTTTCTCAGATGTTAATTATACATACCACTAACATTATTGCCGAAAGACCGCCAGATTGAATTTTTGTCAATTCAATGTTGAGTTAGAAAACCCAGTTGCAGAGTGGCAGGTTTCAAAAGAGTGAGGATGTCTGTTTCGCTAGCGACACAGTCTGCCACAGTATTATTCATGTAGAGCTCAAATTAAATAAAGTCTTTGGACATGGACTCAAGAGCCAGTAACTATTAGTTGGAAGAGTGACCTCAGGGACAATCTTGTCCAAGCTTTATATCCTATAAAATATTTACCTGTGGTTCTGTCATTCCAAAACAAGATCTAATCTTTCCCTCTAATAAAGGGTTTAACCATTGTTGTTTCTGTTGTTCCGTACCATATTTCACTAATACTTCTATATTACCAGTATCAGGGGCACTACAGTTAAACACCTACAAAATATCATCAGATCCAGAAAATCAAACTGAATATTCATAGCTTTTACATTTTTCAGATGTAAGAGTCTTAAGAGTTAGTTTAAAAACTCGACAATATCAATGGTAACAATTACATTGATAATGATTACATTGAGGTTTTTGTTTTCAGTGTTATATGACAACATCAGCAGAAATATCCTTGAATTCAATCTGAGTTAATCATGTTCCTGAGATTTTCTATCAGTACATGTTTTTACCTTAACTTGTCATAATTCACAAAATAAACTGTTGCAGTTTTACCTCTGGTGCAAGCTGACATCTACCCATCTGTTCACAAAGAAAGGCATATTCCACATTGGTCAATCCAGCTCCATATTTTATATCAGGATCAGATTCTTTAGGTAGAAATAAATTCCACAGTCCTGCAGCTTTAGCCTCAGCCTAATGATAGTAAAAAAAAAAGTCCTTTGATGAAAATCATCAAATTGAAAATTGTTTTAAAATAACTCTTCCATGGATATGCATTGCATTTCTGAACTTTTTACAAATGACAAAGAATAATATTGACCTTTAACCCTTCCATTTTTGACCAGACTTGCCATTTCTGTTGAGATTGTGTATGAGCTAAATAATCTGGTTCCAGTGGGATGACTTTCTTATCTATAAACTCTTTAACTTTACTGTGTAAATCTTGAACTCTTGATGATAAACCAGTAACATTGATTGGCATTTGAGCTGAAATAAATAAAAAAATAAATAAACTCTAGGCCAAAAGAAACTTTAAAAGTGAATTTTAAGAAAAAATATATGGCAAGTTCAACCCTAATCCTTCCAAAATACTTTGCCCAAATGCAACAATGACTAGTGGACAAATTATACCCGATAACTGCTCATTGTGACTGGAAAATCTCAATAATGTGAAAATCACATGATTCTTGTATACACAAAAATGTGAGTGCACCAGTCCTCAAGGAGGAATAACACGATATCCTCAGTGACTTAATCAGTTGATTAAATAATAAGTTAAGTCCTGATGTGCAAATAATTCGTGAAAAACAAATAAAATTAAAAGCTACTTACCAGCAGAGTGAGAATGTGAATTAGTAGACATTGGTCTGCTTATATATGACATCACAGATTTACTATTGGTTGTAGAATATTGTCTAGTTTGAGTTGTTCCCCTTGAACTAGCTCCAGAGTTTGAAGGTGACTTTTGTGTAGCAATTTCAAAGCCTCTAGTCGCCAACTTCTCAGCAAAAGTACCAATAAATTTACTTTCTGGTGAACTACCTTGACCTTAACAGAAATTTTAAAAGTTTTTTCTTAATACACAACCACTGAAGTCATATTGAGGCATTAGATAGGCCCGGTTGCTTACTCACATCTAGTCTGTCTTGATTGTATGTTTGTCAGGAGTTGTCCAATTGAGAGAGTCCCAAAAAATTTCTAGTATTGCTATTAATCATTTAAAGAAAAATTCCATCAACAACATAATTGATAAATCCACACATATGCCATATATGGTGTTCGGAACGTACAGTTTAGCTGCAAAATATTTGATCATGGCATTTGTGATACGCAAGGCAAAAAAAAAAAAAGAATAAACTGGTATCATAAATCACAGATTTCTACAGAAGACTTTCTGCAATCCAAAAGACATTCTCATCAAGGTAAAAACAAACCTACATCAGCTATTAATATCAATAATATTAACAATTTATTTGACAAATTGACCTACCTTGAAATAACGTGTTTTAAGTGCAGAGAATTTTATATCGATATATCATCCTTTTGAAAATACAGACTTATAATTCACTTAATAATCACCTGGGTAAATGTATGACTTAACAAAATAAGATAGTCCTATTTCTTTACTCTAAATGACAGTGAGGGTCAAAGGTCAATGATAACAATGTTTGTCTATTTTAATTCACATGTATATATTATTCGTAATTTTACGTTTAAAAGAGCTTGACCACAAAATTGTATTTGTTAGTAATTACCACAAATGACAGATTGTTTGAGACTGTTTCTGGAAGTATTACCTGACATAGCTCTTTTATATACACCTTGAACAATAGCAGCAAATCTAAAGCAGGTAAAAGCTTGATAGAAATGCCAGTTGTCTATTGGTGGAATATTCATCTCTTCACAATACTGTTCTACAATCTGTTCCATGGATGGTATACCATGTGTCTTGAAATCTATATTAGCCATACCTAAAATTAACACAAAGAAAGAAACTACCAAAGGATGAAATCTAAGGATCACAAGGATACTGTCTACTAAAATATGTGGTCTATACTCTTTGCATTGACCTAAAAGATCCTGTCAACAAGCTTGTCTATAGCCAAATCCCTTTGCATTGTTTTAGAGGATCCAGTTTACAAGCTGGTCTGTCTATCTATAATCTTTTGACATTTATCTAAAGGTTCTTGTCTATGTGTTGGTCTGTGGCCAAATGATTTGCATTGTTCTTATGGATCCTGTCAACAGGCAGTCTATAAACATCTTTGCTTTGATCTGTTCTGGATTATGCTGAACATTCTACATAAATTTACTTACTTGGAATCATAGGAAAACCTGGTGGTAAATAATAGCCAAGACAGCATGTTGATAAATCTGTTATAGGATCTCCTATGGTAGATAATTCCCAATCTAATACAGCTAATACATCAGCTGAACCTTTAGCAAATACTAGGTTATCTAACCTACAATATCAACACAAACAATCTGAAACTTACCATTGTCCAAACACAGTTCTCTGTAGCTATAAGGAGCATCCAATTTGGTTTTTGAGGCATGACTAAAAATCAATAATCATGACAACAATCTTTATAGGTTATTTTTAAGAATATGTTTTCAGGTGTGAGCTATTCTCTGCATTTCATTAATTTATCCTGTTGTTGGTTGTCTTTGGAAGTGAATGCGCCTTGAGATGCCCACGCCTGTCTTTTACAAAAAATCAGGTGAGAAATATGCAGATGGACGGTTGAGTGATATAAGCTATCTGTGATTGATCAATATCATGTTTTGATAATATGGCATGGGTCGTATTCTATTTGGACATCATTGACCACTCACAAATAGCTTGTGTTTTTCTCTCAAGTCAACTCAGACCAGCACCACTAGCTAATTGGCTAAACACCCAATTAAAACACTACACTAAAAGAGATATATAGTTGTGAACCCTCTACTGACCTGAAATCACCATGTACAACTGTTACTAGTTCTTTTTTTGGTAAATTCTCCCCTATCCATTTCATCAATTTATCCATTGCTGGTATATCATGTGTTTTACTGGCTTCATATTGTTTTGACCATCGTTTGAAATTACGCTCTACATATTGGCCTAAAAAGGAAATGATAAATTAACAACTAGCACCCCCATGTGTAGACAGAAATTTTACCTAAAGAAATGGTATTACTTTAATCTTAGCCAGGCATAATTAACTTGCTAATATTTTTAAACTTTTGCACCTTGTTTTAGCATGAATCTTTACTTTGTGATCTATGCCAGTGCTTTTATGAGACTGTTTTCATCCCCATTTAACACCAAGCAAGAGATTCGTGACTGCCTGTAAGCGAAACATAAAGTTGAGTAATCATTTAGTTTATGGCAGACTGAAAATACTCAAACGTAATGCTTATAAAGGAAACATATAAAGTCTAAAAAGTTAAGAGTCCCTACGACTAGCAATTTGTGAAAGTCATGACAAAATTCTTTATAAATTTGTACCTGATTTTCCATAAGATGTTAAACCTGCTTCATCTATCCCTGCTTTATGAATTCTACACAATACATTGATCATATTTTTGTAGTACTGGGATCTTTTACTAGGTTCTAGGTCTGTCAGTAGATGATCTTTATATATGTCTCCAGAAATATACTTCATTAGGTAGAATGGTGTTCCTATAACACTATAAAATATAAGTTGTTCAACATTATAATGAATAGAACACATCAATGAAATACACTATGCTACTGAAAATGGGCATAATCATGAAGTATGTTATATGAAACATTTTACCCACTACAGTTTGGAGCACACAAGGCTTTATAAATTGTCCCATCTGACATATACCACTGACAAAGTGAGAAAACGAGATGAATAATATGTACAGGTATTTCATAAAGCTAATTTGAAAATTGTCCAGCAGCACATAACTTGCCAATACAGCTCCATTGCAAAATTACCAGAATTACCTCCCTTGGCACACTAAAGGGAGACAATCAACAAGAAAACAACCTCCGATTTCAACCTTCAACCAACTAACTTGAAAGGAAATTTAATAGGTATAGTATTTTCATACTTTTTAAGAGTGAAAACAATTCCTTAGGACAGATTAACATGTCCCAGTGCAGATGTACAGTAGTTTTCAACTTTTTAAATCATGTAAACAACGTCCCAGAAAAGTTCAATGGACTCTCATTATCATAATGCTTACCTTTCATCATCACAGAAAGACAACATTTCTGGTACTGGTACATCATGTCGACCTAGAGCTTTCATTACTAGATATTCTCTATCTACAGCATGAGCTGAGGGTAATAGTTTACCAGGCTATAATACAAATACATCATTATCAACTTGTTGTATTGTCCAGTAAAAATAAAATCCAGCAAAAACATTGATGGCATAATTCAAATCCTAACAAAAGAAGATTAGAATTTCTAGAATGTTCACTGATTAACCGGCTTATAGAAAAACTGTAGAAATATGTAATATATTCAGAAATGTTATACAGTTCGTGCATGGTACAAGATTATAATTATCAAATCACCGGTTCACCAAGATAAAATTACAATAATGATTATATTTACAGGTTTTTTTCTAAGAACCAATTCTGAGTCACCATATTTAACGTAATATGTTGGGTTGGATTGACCATGTTTAAAACATCTTATTATTGGTTTTTCTACAATTAAAACAATTATTACTTGAATTCTTATCTCAAATATACTAATATAAAAATCATTATATAATATAATATTGTAAAATGTGCACTGCAGTTAAAAGGTAAATTGACATAGGTGACTGCATAGTCAGTGCATAGTCACTACATCCCCCTTCCTTGATTATCTATCTAGGCTTAGAACAAACAGACAAAAATTAGAACACATGACCACCATCATTGGTGTGATGTAACCAAGAGAATGGTGTTAAAATTCCATACAATCCAACCAAACAACAGCCTGCCTTAAAAAAGATCCTAGGAAGCTAAAATGTTACACACCTTTAGAAGAGAGCTGTAGATTTGTTCGTAAATATTGTACTAGTCTATCTACAGGTATTTGTAAATGTTTTGGTATAGTTTCAGTACCCTCTATATAACTACTTAAATCATAACCTGTTAAACTTTCTAAATCTTCTATAGCTTGTTCAACATTTTCAACCTATATCATAACAGTAATGAATACACATTTGGCAAACAGAATATTTAGACATCCAATCTCCAAAACATTCTCAAATCATTTCGAAAGCCATCTTTTGGGCAAACATAATAAAACACAAGCCAAACTGTACTTTCTGGGGATAGATAGGCCTACAAAATAAACTAATCAGTTCACAATTTGTGGAGCAGAAGACTATCTGCAATTCATCCCAGAAATGTTTGCTGGCATGCATTTGTTGAGGACAGTCAGCAAATTTATCAACAATCTGCATCTCAAATTAGATTACCTTTATAGTATTAATACCAAGTTGTCTAGCAGCCTTTACATTCTGACCTATATCATCTAGAAATACCGCTTCTTGTGGTTTAACTTGTAGTCTCTCTAAACATGTCTGAAATATTCTAGAATCTGGTTTTCTTATTCCTTCTCTACATGATTCTACTATCTGAAAAGAAAAATGAAAATCTTAGAAATTTTGGCAATTATTGTAAAAAGCAATTGAAAAGTAAAGAGTTATTCAGTCTGTTCCCTAGTCCATTTCTTATGAATAAAATAATTGTGAAAGTAGGCCTATCATAGTAAAGAGGAGGTTGATGCAATCATATGATGTGAAAAGAAAATTTGCGTAAATATTTCAATTAAATATAAAATGACTCTGGACTCTGAGAAAATGTGAATATGGAAAAATCCAGTCACAGAATGGCATCATGTGTACTGATTACTTACCACATTAAACAATGATTTATCCAATGGAACCAGACTCTGTGTTTTGGTACTATTGGTGAACCAGTTATTGGTGAGCAAGGCTGTCTTAACACCTTCTGCTCTAATACATCTTATAGCATCTAACATGTTCTCATATGGTTTAACATACGATATATCTGTTAATGCCTTAGCTAAATCACTAGCATCTATTTCACGTCCAACCTGAAATAATGTGAACCTTTTGGTAAAGGTGAGGTGATTATGAACCACATCAAATACAGTTGAACCACAATGAACCATATAAAATAGAGTTGAATTAAGGTAATCCATATAATATACAGCTGAACTGAAGTCAACAAGATAAATGAGAGTTGAGATCAGATGAACCATATTAATAGTGTTGAAATAAGGTCAACCCATTAGGTTACCAGAGGAAATAAAAAAATTTACAGATATTTCAAAAGTCAAGGACATTGTCATTTAGAAATGTATTTATAATTATTCAATGCATAACAGGCTGCTAAGAATTCATCTTTGAAGATCTTAGAATTCAATCGTATTAGATTAGACTACCTCTTTTGAACATTCTTTACCAAAGGCTTCAGTGAATTCATCAAAGTTTAATTTGCCTTCTTCAAATTGTAACCAGGCGTTATTATCACCACCTTTTACTATTAGTTTTACAATAGTTCCTTTTGGTAGATTGTGGTTACTTTCAAATGCTGAAATGAAAATTTTGAACATCTGAATAGTGTAACCACTAAAATGATAGTATTTCATGGTTGAGGTCAGTTTTACATAAAACATACCAATGAGTCTCAGACTCTTGATTTGGAAATATGTCCTATTAACATCGAAGTTAGAAAAATTTCTCTTTCTTTGGAATAATTTGTTTCCATATCGTCACTTTAATACATTCAAACACTAGGTAAGGTAGACTAATCTTGTGACTATAGGCTTCCCCATCTTTAAGCACATTTTACTGTGACACATGATCAAAGAGAAGCTGCATATACAACTGGAGCAACAAAGGTATTTGAGTCTTCAACATTTTACCTTTGATTCAGAAAGAGAAATTATTCTCAATACTCGTAGATACTTCAAGAACTAAAGTCTAAATTGATTTGATTCTGTCATTAATGATGATACCATATGCTAGTTCAAAGATTAGATGTTAAAAACTCTTACTGCCTTTCAAAAATCTAAAAATAAGTAGTTATACCTTTAAATGCTATAGCAGGAGTTGGTAAAATAACACCTCCCATATCAAATATCACAGCTTTAGGTTTAAATGGAGCTTTCTCTTGAGCTGACATTAAGCTTGATGTTATAGCTATATTTCTACTAGGTCCTAATACTGAGCTCATTTTTCTACTCTGATGTGGCAACTGTGATAGAATCCTATACATGATATCAAATCATGTGCTGAAAGTATAAAATGATTCATATTATGTGCCAAACATGAACATATTGAATGAGGACAAGTGTCAATGTATGGACTTGAAAATATGTCAACTGTATTTCCATGCAGAACAAATATGAATATAACTTAGACAGGCCAACAAGTTTTGAAAAGTCTTCTTTATTATGTTCTGTGTTGCAGTGTCACTGGTTGTTTTTATTTTGCCACTTCAACCATGCAATGGTCAATGATCCATACATTTTCATTATCCAATTTGGGTCAAGGCCATAAGGCTCGTGCCCCACTCTACAACTTGTAAAACTCTTGTAAGGGTACCAGTTATGCCATCTAAGAACATAGTGGCACAATTGGTCATCAAACCTGGTTATCTAAACAGCAATTAGCAATTTGTAGGCCTATAGTGATAGGCTACATTATTGTCACTACACTACGAAGTACAAGTCTGCTAATATGTATTTATCAGCACAGTAATGTGACATCTGCAAAGACTGGCATCAATCTTATCCGATTAGAACAGTGTAGAAAACCCCGCTATGGGTCTAGAAAGAAAAACAATTGTTAGTATATTGACAAAAGGAAAATGTTTTAAAAACAATAATTACTTGAGCTGAACTTTGATCCTTTTCTACTTTCGCTTTAATAATTGTGGTATCTGACGCGAGTAAATTCAAAGACGCGATTGTCATGGCTTTTTACCTTCTAGATATAGATCAGTGTTTACCACCGCTTAACTTGTCATCTACCTACCTACCTACCACCAAGAAAAATAATAGGATGAGGCAGATTAATTAATCAGCCGATGGCGTAATGTTGAGCTTGGACCTCGTTATTCTGTTGTGATCTTTAATATTGGGCCTCCTTTTTCCCTAATAATCTTGAATGGAAGGACCTTAGTTATGTTCATTTTCAATGCAAAAAATGAGATAAAACAATATTTTACATTGTGCTTTTTTATGCAGTGTACAATGAGGGAAATTTTGCCAGGACAGTCACATTAGCCTACTCTTTTTCGATTTCCAATGTGCTCAGTTTATAGCACATGGTTCGGTTTATTGTCCAATCCACACTACTAGATGCTTTTTCCTTATCAGACCTTCCATCCTGCCACAAGGACAACGGGTGGTAAGGGAAGTAAGCCCCACTAGCTGTGAATAAGATTTGGAGGGATTCAGATGGAACTAAATCATCTGCTTTAATCTAGGATGTAGGTTTTAAACAAATGACACAAATAAAAAGATAACATAAGACATAATTTATTGCTAAGAGGTTACATTTATAACTTTTTGTAAAAAATTAAAATTCTCTATATTTTTATATGGATAAGGAAATATACCAACAAAATATCTTTAACAATCATAATCATCTATATATATAACAATTTTCATTTCCATCACTGACAATTATTCACAAAAAAAGAAAAAAAAGACACCAAATTTTATACTCATAAAAATTATGTAAAAAGAAAACAATAAAAATTTACAGAGGCACTTAAGACTTTCGTCATGTCCAAGCTGTAATTTACAGCCTGTAAACAACATTCGCATAAAATGTCTGTGAGAAAGTTATTATTGGCCTGAAAGTGAATACAGTCTCGGCTTCCACAATAATGTTTTATTAAATTGTAGGAGAACCATAAGTTAAATTTACTCCCGAAAAGTTACAGATAGAGGAAATTGAGCTGTATTTATCACATGGAGATATTGGATTTAGGTTGATCTAATCTGTATACTGAATGTGGTATAGTAAAATATCCTCTGTAAGATACAGTATCTGGTGTAGTATCATAATGATAATGACCACCTTGTCCATGGTCACTAAAACAATGAAAATGTTCTGTTCTCAGGTCAAGGTTCTGAAAAGATAGAACATAAAAAGATTATTTTGATAAAGGTCATTGGTATGTAAATGGGTGGTGGTTTGGAGATAAGATAACCAAGTTATGAATAGACATACAAAAATAATTATTTAAAAGTATTTATATTAAAGGGATTTTTATGTGTAATGTGGACACTGATAGCATTAATTTCACTTTTCAGTCAGTCGTCTGTGGTTCCTACAATTTCATTAAATATGCTTTTATAATATTAGGCTCTTCATGATAAGTGGCCTCATTTAACACTTAGTTTTAGTGGAATAGCAGGAACCACAGCTGAGGCATCTTAAGATTGGAATGGTGCAAATTGATGCTATTAGTGTCCACAATACACATAAAAAAAATTTGAGAATCTTCCTTATAATCCCTTTAAGGAAGTGTTTTAGATTTCCAAACCAACAAATGTTACAAGAGAACAGTCATCTTCATCTCAATGAGAGAAACCTTTCAACAAGAATAAATAACAGAATGAAATCAACTACTTACCACATCTCTTGATACCAGTTCACCTAAACATACTAATGGTGCATCCATTTCAAAATATTGTAACCATTCATCTACTTCACCATCTGATTTTAATGGTACCTTGGAGAAATCAGGCTGAAGGGAAAGATTATAAATTGTTGTTATACAGAAGATTCAGCAACACAATCACAGCTGGGCAATTAAAAGCACCATTGGCATTTTCCTCCCAAAAACCATAAGGAATTAAAAATAATTTGGACATTATTTCAACTTGCTCCTGTACAAACTAAATTCATCCTCCCGTATGATATATAACTTAAGTAAAAGACATTCCATTAGTTTTCCCATTGGAAGTGTTAATATAATTACCATAATATGTAAAGTGGCTTTTCCAGTCTCCACCAAAAACACTCCACCCAAAGCAACTGATTTATTCTCGTAGTGAGAGTCTAATGTTTTACGTAATGACGACATGAAATTTTCTGGTCCTGTTCTTTTACTAGCTTTCACTTGTAAAACCTACAATATTAACCATAACATGGACCTCTGATATAACTCTATGACTGGGTTTGTCAACTGAGACTTTTAATTAATATATCTAGCTATGTGGACTCTGATAGCGGGTTGAAAAAAAACATTTACAGCACCAGATGTGATTTAATATTTCATTTGCTAAATAATCAATGATAAAGTGTCAGAATTAGTAAATTTCGCTTAATGCTATAAATTAAAACATTTGAAAATACCAACAACATCAAAAAATGTTTCTGATTAGAAATCCTAAACTTCAAACTGCAATTTCAAAATTGAGTAAAGGCGTTTCTCATTACCCACAAATAAAATTGCTATTTACCTTGCCTTGCTTACCCTCACTACATAATAGATTTGCCATTAAACAAAACTCAGTAGAATCTTTGATCTGCATTTGTTGACATTTTCCATCCTAAAACAGAAGTGAAACATTGAAATAATATATCACTGCAAATTATTTGTTTCTAAATCAACATATACAAATTTTATAGGTTGGATTGCTCAAAAAATCAAAATTGACTTGAAAATAAAATTGAATGTTTGAGTTGAGTGCAATATCTTTTTCATGTAATATCATAGCTTAAATAAGTGTCATAGAAAAGTGGGATTGTATTCTCAATGAAAGACTGCTAAAGTGAAAGTATTACCTTTTCCCCAACTTTAGCTATATAGGTATTATTAACTGTAGGCTGACCATTCTTACCAAGTTTAACATTACATATCATCTAAAAGATAATAAATTAAGCTTATAGTTCAGGCATATTAAATTCAGGTTAAACATCCTCTTACAATTATTGCCTTGACCCAATTCTTAACTTACAAAAAACTTTGTGCTTCTACTCCAGAAATCTCTAACAGCTGTAGAATCTTTCCTTGAAACTTATTCAGAAAATTAACCTTCGAACAGCTAAAGGTTTCACATTTTTTTTTGTGATGAAATTCGTTTACTTTGCTTATGAGATTATAAAATATTGTGACAAAGATAAATTTTTACCTCAGAATTAACTCCTACAAGTGGCCAGGGACCAGCCCCAGCACCAATAACAAATGCTCCTGGTAATCCAACTTCTTCTGACACTTTCCCAACATCATATATCTGAAATCAGAAACATATTTGGGTTGTCAAAAAATTTAATCTCATATGAATATGCAACTTAGTTTTAATGGGAAAATATTTATGCACACAAGAATATGATCTTATCAGTCAAGCCAAGTGACAGACATTTTTATTTTAGTTTTCATATATGTAATAATTTTACATAGGAATGTTTGGATCCTTCTTTAAGGTTAAAATGTGTGCACTATGCGCAAAATTACACTGTACTAAAATCATTTGTAAACAGGGCAAAATCTAAATGGTCTTGTATATACCTTATCTTTGTTGTATTGAGGAACTAAATATGGTGGTCCACCAACATCAGCTAATCTTTCGTTTCCACATATTCCTGCAGTAATATGAATCAAAAGTTTTATTCATAGTTATGTGAAGCTGGACAATGATATGCTGTTTGAAATAAGGAAAAAAATGCTCTTTAATTTCTTTTCCAAATCAAACTGTCTAGTGATGTATCTGTATCTGATCCCATCCAGCTAACAACTACATACATCTTTATATCAGTGAATTCGAGCTGCACTAGAACCACTTTGGATCTCCAGAACTCTAGTTGACAAAAGCTTATACCGGTATCATGCTGTCAAGTCAACAATTTGCCCATGTAACCTAATATTCTCATCAGACAATTTTCAATATCACATTGAAGGAAATTAAGAACGCCACTCATACCAGTATATGTGCATAATGTAAAAATATATTATTTTTTTTACCTGGTGATGAGAGATTAAATGGTTTCTGTGTTAAATCTGGACAATCAACAACTGATACAGAAACATTCTCAAAATTATTTTTTAAACCTTTTTCTAAAACTGAACAAAAAAACATGTAAGTATGTAAGTAAGATGTGGTTTAAAAGAGGGATTACAATTTCAAAATATTTTTTAAGGAACAGAACATCTCTCTAAAACTTAAAATACTAAAAACTGCTGCATGGGTGTAGTTTCCAATATTTAAACTAACGTATTGGAATGTGGGGGGTTATATCAGCAGTAAACTACACCTATTTTTTTATCAAATCATTATTAGGCCTACAGTCCTACCTACACCACAAAATTTGACAAAACCTAATGCAAAGATACTGGACACTATCACACTTGTGTCACAAGACTGTCATGTCAGTAGGCAGTCATATCAAATAATCGGATAGAGATAACTTAGATGGGGTCATTTACTGATAAAGATAGTGGCATACTAACTGTCACTGTCACATTTGTTCAACTGTCATTCTTCATTCATTCGTCCATTCTCTGAAATCTCTCACTCTCATTTCCAAAGACAGCCAACCCCACCAAATTTAACATCGGATAAATTTACCTTTTGCAGCTTCTTCCAATGTCGGCACATGGAGATCAGCTTTCTTGTTAGATACTTGAAATCTAGTCGACATTCTTACTGCTTGACACTAAAGGAAAATGAAGGAAAATGAATTTGAAATTAGACCAGATAAGAGAGATCATAGATATATCAATTGTTTATTTTTAAGACCACACGTGTGGCGCAGCGCCATCTGTACATAAATAATTACATTACACAAGGAAAACAATTTTCATCAATTCGGACAACAAATACATCATAGTTGCCATCTTCACAATGTAAGGATTGTAATTTTTACATAAGTGTGATTTCCATGTATTATTAGGCCTAATCTAACTGTTATAAGAGTGTATCATTCACGAATATCAGATGAAATAAGCTGATAAATATCATATGGCAGCTTCAACTCTATATATGACTATGAGATTTAAGGATTATTGGTATTTAAATAAAAGTTTAAAAAATGAAAAAAAAAAAATCAAAAACTAAATCAAAAAACAATCAGCAAGAAATACAACAAAGTAATGATGGATCCATAATATACACAATAAAATCTTTTTTTTTTTAAATTTTATAATATTTCATTCGCTAATGACTAAATCTTCGATTAAACAATCGGAACATATTGAATTGTTAATGGAATTTAAATGTAACGTTTTCTGTACGTTTTAATTCAAGGGAAGGAATTCAATATAAATATATTTGACCACTGAGGATGCTTATAAAAATTCATCATATCCAATTTCAGTTTCTTTGTTGATTGTGCTTCAGATGAGAAAACGATAGAACTCGTTGATACGTTATAAGTCTTCGGAGTACTGAAATTCGAAGCATTGCACGGAGGTACATTAAGTATCTCTCAATGGAAGAGAATGCCTTAATCCCACTCTGTTACTACTGCCATACTAACACTCCTCGTCCCGACTCCAATTCCTCTAAAACACTGACATCTCCCACTTCCTGTCCTCTATGACACTAACAACTCCCACCCCCTGTCCTCTATCACACTAACATCTCCCACGACCTGCCCTCTATCACACTAACATCTCCCACGACCTGCCCTCTATCACACTACCACCTCCCACTTCACTAACATCTCCCACGACCTACCCTCTATCACACTAACATCTTCCACTTCCTGTCCTCTAAAGTACTAACATCTCCCACTTCCTGTCCTCTAAAACACTAACATCTCCTATCTTATCACACTGACATCTCCCACTCCCTGACCTTATCAGTATCACACTGACGTCTCCTTCTACCATTTCCTGTCTTATCACAATGACATCTCCCACTCCCTGTTGTCTATTACTTCTCCCATTTCCCGTCTTATCGCTCTGAATTATCACCATGACTTCTGCCTGTTCTCTATCACTCTGGTCCTTAATTCCACTTCTTGTCCTCTATCAAACTGACATCTTCCTTTCCTCTATCGCTGTGATTTCTTCCACTTGGTGACAATGTAATCTTTACATTTTTTGAAATCCTTAAGTTAAATCATAGTTATTGACGAACCATAAGTCGGAAATTGTTTTTGAAATATTAGTATTGAACGTAATATTATGTATAAATTTTCTCTCGATCGAATCATACTTCATTTATATATTTCAAAAGCACAATGAATCGAATTTTCAAATTTCTTCAAATGGAAGGATAACAAAACTACCTCAAAGAAACTGGATTTAACTTAGGAGCATTGGAAAAAAGGGGAAAAACATAAGAAGATTGCGTATCAGATAGCGTGCTACTGAAAATAACCCAAATAAATTATTCAAAAGTTAATTTTCTTCAAACCTCTCCCAATAAAGATCTGATTTACTGTATGGTACTACACGAAGTTGTCCGTAAACCTTTGTTCTTTGGTCATAAACAAGAATTGCTCAATGGTAAAATGTTAGATGGGAACCATAAATGGTAACCTAAGTTACAATAACAAAAAGGCGATTTCTTATTTCCTCCATAAACTTTAGAGATTTCCTCTATCTATATATATAAAACCATAGGTCGTGGAATATAAAATGATTTTGTCTCAATTCATTATACGTAAAACATGTATGTCCATTGTGCGAAGCTATTGTTACTGGTTGACCAAGTATGAAACGTGAAATAAATAGTCTCTTTAATCAGATATTAATTAGTCAAGTGTGATATAAATAGGAAGACATTGTTGATATATTGTGTTTAGATATAAACAATACCAAGCATTATTGGTTACTATCTTAAAGGGATCTCGTCTCCTATTTATATATTATCAGAGCTGATAGAACTCTGGCTATAGCTCGCCAGAATAAAGATTCGGGGAAAGAATTTGATCTGAAGACGCGATCCAGAAGTTTTACTGTTATCACCTAATAGAGATAGGCCCGAGCTAAGATTTAGTAAATAGTTGGTCGGAATTATTGAACTGCATGGCTTTGATATTTTACGACGATTCGAATAATACGAGGATTGGGGAAGATATAAATGATAAACTAATGATCGTCTTATGCATTAAGAAAGACAAATTCTTATTTCATAGGATATACTTAATAGTTGGATCGTCTGAATGGTAGTTCAGGTGCCCTTTCATATAGGATCTGACAGGTGAGGGGTCATCCAGATGGCATTTGATGTTGGCCTCCAGCTAGTTGAAAATAAAAGGAGAATTTGTGGTGTTTGAAATGAATTCGAGGAGGTCTTCGAGGAGGCAGGGGCGCGCCTAATGCTCCTTAATTATCATCTGACATAGAGTATCTGACATGAGGTACAGGTGCTAACTAGTGTCATTTTTCTGTCCAGGACCCAAATCCGGAACAAGGCGATTACCTTCAGATTGTTCAACTTGATAGTTTTGCAGGCTTGACAGGGCAAAGACACTCTGTGTAGATATTAAACTTTGAATATGTTCCATGTTCTTTTCTCACTAACCAATCTTTAATTAAAATTAAACCAAACACTATTACCCCTGAGAAATAATTCCATTGTATACAGCAATAAAACCAACATTAAGTTATAGAAGGTTGTTTGTTATTTTCTACAGGTGTGAAATACAGGTATTGATTCTAGTCCAGACTCAACTCTGATTGATTAGTATAAATGAGTTCGAACTGGATTCAACTTTTCTGGTGGAATACCATCCATTGAGGGATACAATCTTGATTCCCGGTGTCATAAATGTTCTGGAAAATCGGAATACGTCTTCCTGGTATGGAATCCATTAAGTTATTAAGTAACTTTATTCCGGGATAAGTAACGTCTTGAAACCAATACCATGTAGTTCTTTAGAAATTCCAGGTTCTTGTCAACTATGTTTGTTCTTGAAACTGTTCGTTGTGTCAACTCGGTAGAAGGATTTCAAAAACCAAAACCCTAGCAATTGGACTAAAGTTGAAGGTAGTCAGCGATGTTTATTCTTATATTGAGTATGCACCAATTGCGACAACACATTGAAAAAATAGTTTAAACTCAGAATCATCATTCCCGGGAACAGAATGATATCTTGGATATCTTTTCTTTAACATATATTTGCTAGAAACTTAATGCAGGTTCTACGATTTGAGGGATTTTACATTTTGAAAACTGCTTGTCATTTCAGTTCTGTGTTTTTGGTTTCTTAAAATGTATGTTAATTATGAAGGACACGTTTAGTTTAAAATTCGCCAGAGAACGTTGGATGTAAATTTTCCTGAGATCATGGATAGCAAGTGCAGTAATCCATATGAAAAAAAATAAATGCACTTCTTATATAGATAAATATTTTAATCAGATTATACTATTATCAACCTTTTAATTAAGAGTTTTTCAATGACAGATCATCCCGTTAATGAGCTCTAGTTGTAAATATATCAATTTCTTCGTGTGTCTCGACAATCTTAATTTAACCAATTTCAAGGTCTATAATAAGGTCTATTGCTGACCTATCGGATATGTATTTTATCTGAAAATAAACGAGCCAGGTTTGTTACACGCGAGTGAATATATTAGAAGTTTTAGTAACTAAGATAAACTATATAGTACTATTGAGTGTTTAAAGATTAGTATATAGTTTGTATACATGATTATGACGAGTATCTTATTAACGGATTAACGAATTAAGTCAGATCCGTGATTAGCATGTAAGGGGATTATAACAAATGTCTTTCTTAATAGTTAATTTACTATGAAATCGGAGATCTTTTAGACACGTCTTCTGTTTTAGAAGTTCAGCTCGACCGTCTTTGAAGCAAAAGTGTTTTGGGAATAGAATAAGCAGGTCAATACAGTACAGTCTTTCGGCAGGGACATTTGGATATAATCCAATCTACAGGATTTATGTGATTACATTCGGAATACCTTTGTGTTATAGAGGAAATTTGACTGGAACATTTCTTTTTGATGAATGAGTTATATGTATTTAATTAAGTGTAGAAGAAAAATCTGTAGATATGTGCTAATGTGGACCACATTTTGCTACAGACAAAAGCTATAACGGTAACTGACTCATAACGATGCGGATTTAGTCAGAGTGACCTACAATAATACTATGACCGACCAAGTTGGTATACACACAACTCTCCAAAATACGGATCCCGTGAAAAATGGCCCAAAACGCAAAACACTAGTGTTGTCAACCTCTGATTATAGCGCAATATCGATAGATTACCCCGTAGGCAATAATCAGTTGGAAGCAAATAACCAACCGCAAGAGGATTCTATGCATCCCTTTGAGCCTGTTTGCATCAGTGTTACTCAAAAATCGAAATATGATATCGGCACAGCACAATCTTTCAAATCAAATTCTCTCCGGAGACGACATAGTAGTATATCATCTACATCCGATCAACCAAAACTAGGTCGTCCAATTCGAACACCGTCTTTAGATTCCTCACGAGTTGCTGAAAGTTCGGCCACAAACCAAAAACCTCCTACTGGACCTCCAAGACACAATAGCGAAAGAAGGCTATCTAGACCTTCATCTGGAAAACGAAACCAAGGAGGGAATAGCGTCAAAAGTGCAAGTACTGCCAGTTTGTCGTGTTCAGATGACGTTAGTGTCATCAGTTGTGCTGAAGATGCAAAGGAGAAAGCTCCAATCGATTTGGATTGTAAAGACAAACTCGAAAGGGCAACCTCAGCTGTCAAGCATTTAAGAAATTTATCTCATCATGTAAGGAGTAAGGTTGATTTGGAATGCAACCATGTCCATAATTCCAAGATGGATTTGTGTCGATGGTGTGACATACGACCCAGCACAGGTTCATCAAAGTCTTCGTCGTCATTAAGTAAGAAGAAGAATTCTCCGTCAGTTTTCAATAGACTTACTAAAGACGGAAAAGATAAAATGTTTAGGTTTTTCCACTGTGAAGACTATACGGACTATATGTATCACTATCGGATACAGTATACTGTCAATAATGCTGGGGATTTAGCTAAACAGGCACCTGTTCTGGGAAGAGATGTACCCGATCCTTACTTAACTAAACCAAGTAGTGTATGGTATGTAGTATGTATATATTTAGTCATTGGTTTACTTGAACTAATAACAAACCCTTACACACCCGAAGAGTGTCATATTCACCTAATTGATACCTGATATGTTGGACCTAATTATAATCATGGGAAAATGTGTATCGACATGTAGATGTAAAACATATATAACATGATCGACGTTATTAGATATTATTTTGATAATAAAAAACATAAGGGGGTTTCTTTCTTTGCAAATTTTGCAAATATTATTTGCTTTTCATTTGATAAAACTAAATTTCAGATTTCAGGGACACTATTTATGATAATAAATCCTCTAGAAGAAATATTTATTATTGTTCTCCCATGGAGCATAGGGCATGACGACGATGTATTCTAAAAGATGCAAAGGAATCATAGATAGTCATCCTATCTGAGTTTTATTAGCTAGTAAAGTCATGTTTGACAAGTACACTTCATACTCTGAATTTAAAGAGCACATGTGCGCACTGTTTGAACTAATTTGGTGCTGTATATGAACTAATGTTTTTAACTAATATTAACTAATATAATTTGTTTCAGTTCTATATATTTAAGGACGTTATTCAAACGAAAATATAGGTGAGCAAATAAGTTGATGTTGCATTTTTTTTATTTTCACTATAATATGATCCACCATAACAAAATTGTTTTAAAGCTTCCCTGGTGAAGCTTTGCAGAAAGATTCAAGATTATTGGAACCCACATTCTCCACATTACAGTCTAATTAGAGCTAGTGTACCAATAATGCACAGTCATTATTGTAGGTGGAAATCCTTCTTTTGATGCAATTCGAGTAATGATACGACACTCCATGTTATCAATACGCAAACCCTTTGCTCTCGTGTAATCAGATCTGCCGTGATGCTGACAGATAGTGAACTGTGCAAGGAACCATCATTGTTTGTGCGACTAGAATGCGCTTGACACAGGTTAATTTCTGAATTTAAAACGTAGTCATGCAGGTAAACATTAATTTTATGTATTTTCAGTATCGTAACGGAACTCAACCAAACAAGTCAAGCCTCATTCAGCTTGACCTCTACCAGAAAATCTGATGATGGTCAAGAAAGAAGTTGTCCTAATTTATCACCTGTAAGATCATTAGAAGAGACAAAAAGAAAACAAGACGTCGCGAGAGTGACCCCTACCCAACACATTATAAGTGTTAATGACTATATGGATTCTTATCTACCTCAAATCCAAACTGTACCTCGTGTTCCGTCCCGTTCTGACTCCTCTCCAGCATTGTTGGGTGAACATAAATCAAAATCGTTCGTTTTATCGGAGAGTGTCGTGTCCAGTTCTCAATTTGATGGTGAAATAGTTGGAATGAAGCACAAATTACCAACAGAAACTATTTATAATTTTTCTATGTTATGCAAACCAACTGCTGGCGAGGATATTTATAATGAGTTAAAAAGTGGTTCGAGCTCATATCGCAATCTGAATTCCAACAGACAAAAGAAAGTTACTGAAGCGGTCGCGACGTACAAAAACAATATTGAAACTGCCATAGCATCTCCCAAATGCGGGGCTAGTAAAACTGCTCATAGTGATAAGGGTTGTCACGGTTGTAATAGGATAACATCTCTGATACGTGGACAGAGAAAGGTTCCTCCGAAACCTCATGATATCAAATCCAAACGTGACATGCCGAGCCAATGTAAACCACTTGAAGAACCTTCGATTAATGTCTTTCACAGACTGCAGAAATTACCCATCGGTTAATGACTTTTTTTCGTGTCTGTTACGTTTTGTTGTTTTTCATAGATTTATTTTATTTTCGCAGCATTTATATTTCTAATTTTATTATCAGCAATCCTAATGATATGATCCTAAGGATAAATCAGCTGTTTGATTATGACGTCACTATGTTTCCGAAAGAAGCATTCATTGTCTCCAATTACACCCCTAATACAAATCTCTTGAATAAGGACATATATCCTCTTGTTAGAGCAAGGTGAATACCCAATGTAGGCCCATGTGGCGATGGATTCGAAAGGAAGTACAAGGAACTACATATTTTGAAATTTCAAATGTTCACTGTACAACATTATATCAGATAGATCTTATAGTTCAATATTAAATTGAGTCAAATTTTGAGGAGTACTACTATAATTCAGGGGAAGTAATTCAATTTAAAGAACAAGAAAAGTTTTCACAGTTCAAGGGAGAATACTCATTCACATCATTTTTAATCTCTGAATACAATGTTATCATCAAATTTGACTCTAGTCTAACAGACAAATTTAAAAAGAAAAAAGAAAATAGAATAATAGGATTAAAAAATATTAACGTTCAAGGGAAGTAATAAATATACCAAATAACAATATGGCTAAAAGGTATATATTATATATTATAACTAATTGCAGAGTACCTCAACTCATCGGAATTATGAGCATGAAATGCCCGACCATCTAACTAATCGTAATTCTTATTAAAGAAAGTTTCTGGACTTGAATTCGAGTAGTCTGAGTCAGGGTAAATAATATGTAATTTTTTTCAGCACGGTTCAAGGGAGGGAACTCCATATCAAAATTCAAAAGTTTACTTAGTTCTTTCTTGTGAATGATGCATCATATTTCGATCGCATAGTGGGTCTCAAGTGGAAATTGATGTTCTATAAATAAAAGGCTGCGCATAATTTCAGTACTTTTTCTTTGTAGGAAACGAGACATTTGCTGAAGTCCTATTATTTAGACCGATTTTCAGGTGTTTTTCACTAGAACAATTGCCCAACAAAAATGGTTTGGAAATATTAATGTTTTCATCGTGCGTTTGGCAAGTAGCGGTCCAAACGTAATTCTGATATAAAAATCTTCTACCAGGTTAGGCTTCATAATGATTCATTCTATTGTCCCAATGAACTGAATGTTAGGCAGGACCATTCCACCTTGGTGTATTGCACCTAAATCTTGCGCGTGTAAAATAAAGATTTTAGGGTAAAACGTAAATGAAGCTATTCTAATCTCATTTACACTTAATTCTTAATATATGATTTATTAGTTGAATATTGCATTTTCATATTTTCTTTTCACTTGAATAGTGTCATGGGATTAAACTGAGTAAAACATGGTCTATATAACTCAATCTAATCTTATATAAAGAGTTGAATTGATTATAAAAATCAACGATTTATTATAGTGGTTGTTTGAAGTCACTCTTGAATGTATTGAGTAGAGTCTATAAAGTTTAATTGATTATATTTATTTAATCACTTGCCATATCAAGAAAAATATGAACTCATATTAAAATGTCATAGGGTTTCAAGTTTCTTGAAGGTAACTTCGCAGTTTTACAGACATTGGACATGGCTTTGTCGCCTTTGCGTAATGGGGCGGTCGATGTTGAAGCAGCCCCGAAAGCAAGTTTTTCGGGCAAAAATCTCATAACTAGGTTAGAGATTCGGGCAATCTCAGATATCTCGCCCCCTCTCGGACGTAATTTTTTTTTTGAAAATTTGGTTGAGTTTTTCGGACGGAATATGAGGTGATAAGTGTCTCAGATGAAAGGATAAAAGACCTCTTCGATCACGTAACTCTGTGATATCAGTTAGCTGGAAGCGAACGTTAACTTGCAATCTACCAACCAACCAAATTTCCTATCCAATGTGTACACAATAAGATCAGAATATACAACTTGATACGTTCGTGAAGGGGGAAATTTACGTCACAAACCAACCCCCCTAGACACACTCTTTTACGGGATTATCGTCAACTATATCCAGATTGGCAAAACGATTTTAACAAATTTTAATTTGCACAGTACATAAAGACGGGTAATTCAGAATTCAGACAAGAAAACGTTAGTTTCCAGATGCATCAATTTGATCTAATTTTGACAGACTTGTGGATTGTCTCATCTTCTCACTCAATCTGTACACTAACAATGTTTTATCAACAATAGAGTTCTGTTCAGGCATGGATCTCCTTTGGACAATCTGTCTTGGTTTCCTTTCGCTGAGGCTCTGATATTTAAAGTTCAGGTCCGAAGCCTTTTCGCGTTGGTTTAGGAGTCGTATTGGTCGAGTTGGTGAATATGCTGATACTGAACGTGGTGTGGGATACGGGGTGGTTGGCGTTTCGCGTGGTGGCAGTTCAGTCACTCCAGTGCTCGCCTGAGACATCATAAACGTATTTGATTTGCATAGAGTCATGTATTGAGACCAACTTAAAAACACTCTTTTGGGAAAACTGTTCCGAAGTCTGAACTTTTCCTGTTCACAAAGAATACAACCACCATGAAGGTTCACATCAGTAGCTATTCTGGGTGTATTTGGTAAGAAGGTACGAGCTACTGGATCCGTAGTCTTTACTCGAAAACCAGGAACTCCTAGAGATCGCTGGGATCTGAAAAGAGTAAAATACATACATGAAATAATAACTTAATCCATGAGAGTCGGCAATAAAGTTTAAAAAAGGAACACAGTTTCTTCGTTTTGGGCAAGTAAATCACAAATACAATATTCAGGATTTTGGGTGTAGACAGACATTTTACAGTGCTATTGTTCTTATCCATTTTGAATGAATAACATACATAGAAATAGGAAATATGCAATATGATTGTAATCAGAACGAAATTCGTCTGGATAATCCACAAAGCTTAAGTTAAGTCTCCATAAGCTTATTTCAAATGGGATAGGCCTACATAATTTTCACAGATCAGAATTAGATTTCAGTCAGCATGTTTTGGGTCTAGCACGATAATATTGCTTATTGACCAACGAAATTTATAACAGATTCAGATTTGGCAAGTAAGAACGTGCAGGTCACTCGGGGTTAATGTTATTATGTTTCAGTCTGTCAGGTCCTAGACTTAATCAGCCTAATCTTATTCTTATGGTCAAGATTGAGCCCGCGCCAAACCTTTGCTTGTTTTGGGGTTCTTGCATTATTCATGTACACTAGTTCATTGCGGTAATAAGACTCACCCATTATGATGGTGCAGATTCTGATGAGATCCATCCCACAATCTTCTACCCATTTTCCCGACAGTCTGCGTATATCTATAATCTCTAATATATCTCGTCAAATCTTCATGGTGCTCAAATCTAAATTTGGAGGCCTTACACAGGGATTTGCTATGCAAAGATGGATATGTCTTGGATCGTTTCTTCAAAATGTCTTCCGCTGTTACAGAATTTGTCTTTTTCAGCTCATCTTGCCAGCCACCAATATCTACAAAACTTCCTGCGAAGTTGCTATTCTTGGGTCGTTCTAAAAGTAATGTTTTTTTCGGGGTTTGTAGACTTCGAATAGGATAATGCTTTGCAATATCTGTTCGGTTATATATTGCGAGTTCGCCTTTAGGATCAACTAAAGTCTTTTTCTCGTGGCGCGACTGTTCTTGGACTTCTACTGGATGTTTTCTGGTAGCGATTGAATCTCCGACACCAGAAACAAGAACTGGACCAGCAATGTCATGTTCGTCAGGAACAGGGGTGTTCGGATGTGGCGTTGGTGAAACTGACTCAGATCGTGGTGTTACAGAACATTGTGGTGGTTCAAGTTTAGGAAAATGAACTTGGTGGTTAATTTCTGGTTCTGTGGCGGTTTCTGCTATACTATCATCACTTTGAGATGGCAGAATTATTTTAATGTAGCATTTCTTATTGTCATTTTCTGGTAATTTCAGTGCTGGAGCGAGATCTTTTCGATTCGTTGCTCCCTCGTATTCACACATTTTCTCAGATATCGAATGCTCAGGTGCCATTTGATCACATTTTCAGAAATAAAGTTCACACAAAACGTATACAAATTATTGCTACCGAAAGTTAAATCGCAAACATTGGTGACTAAGTTTGACTCAAATTACTTATAACCAATATCAATAACTTGTTTCACCACTATACCATAAATGAACCACTTTTTTGTATTTTGCACTATTGAAGTAAAAAAAAATACAAAAATCACATTTGGTACAAGGCTAGTCACATTCACACAGAGTAGACGGTAGACACTGTACGGGGGGTAAATAAAAAATCATATATCACTGTACAGATATGAATGACTTATTGTTTTCTAACCTTATAACAATAATCAGTAAAATATAGTCACCGAAATACAAACAATATCACAATAAACGGTTTGTTTACTTAATGGAAGTCGCTCTTGTAATTTCTTTGTAGGAACACAGTTTATCATTTCGCATTATTCCTACGACGGAATCGTTTTATACCGCAAGCTTTCGCCAAGAGAAATACTCAACACAACTGGCAGCAATTGGAAAAAGAAACAATTTTCAAATTTTTTACGTCACAATTCTTTAAATTTCAGAATATAATTCAAATTCCAAAAGTACTATCTTACTATTATTGTTTTCAATGTAAACATTTCATGTAGATTATTAGTCTTAATATTCACTTTACACAAATACACGGTGTCCATTCAGTCCAAATCACAAGAAACACAAATAACTGTCTTGATTTCTTTATGTTGATCTGGGCGTGAAATTAGTGACCACTTGATACCCGATTAATCAGTACAAATATTATTAAGGTGTGATTAATAGTCTCGATTTCGAGGGCCTGTTTGAACCAAACCTCATTATATCCAATGATGGTTTTTGAATCAAAATAAATCCATTTGTCAATTTATCATGGAATTGAAAATATTATTTTTCAAGATTACAGAAACAGTCAACACATTTTCCGATTCATAATGTCGGAATGTAATTTCATTTCAATTTTAAAGACGAACACGCATGTTAAAGAAAGAATTGTCTCGAAGAACAAACAAAACGTATGGACAAAATCCAGATTTTTTTTACCATCGATTGTCGTTTCAGAAATATGGCCCTATTGCGTGCGGCTTTACCTTGCACACTATAAGACTTATGATAGACTTCTAAAATTTTTTAATATGTCACTACGATCTGAGTTCGCAGTTCTTCTGCGTTTCTTGTTTAAGTCAGTCACTCACTATAGAATACTTCATTAGATTTCTTCAAAATTATCACTTGTGACCGTAAACACATTCTGAAATATACCTGAGAATACTGCTTTACTATTTTTACTAATCTCTTAAAAATATAGCACACATAATAAGAAACACTTGAATTTCATCAATCACTAAGAGAACTTTACAACTAAAGTATATTACTGCGATATAAACAGTCTATATAAATCCTATCAAACCCCATATGAATAATAAAGAGAGAAATCAAATGATATTTTCTATTTATATGGATATTGATATTTAATAAGTATTCGATCTATAACACTCGATAAAAACACTAATCTTATTGATGTTATAATAGTGTTATAGATTGAATTATTACACTAACAATAATTAGCTAATGTTTTATTATTACCTCTATTACATTAAAGGTGAATTCTCTCAAAATCTTGTTTTCTTTTGTTGAATCTTTTGATTAACACAAATGAATGCATAAAAATATTTGAAAAAGTAAATTTAATCTAATTCAAATCGAGTGAATAGATAAAAGTGAAATAATACAATTTGAATTGAATATGAAGTTAATAAAATGCGGTTAATCAAATAAAAAGCAACATTGGCTTTTTGATTTGAACGATTTCTAAGTATTCAATGTTAAACTTTACAACTGAGTCAAATTTCAGCTTTTACAATAGTCACAAGAATTGAAGCTGAAGCAATATTCGGAAGTCGGCTACAGAAGTCAGTGGTCTAAAAAGTTCAGGTGAAACAACAAGAAGTCAGCTGTTTCATAAAGAGTCCATTACGTTGCAATACTTTTATAACAGATCTTTTGCATGTACATGTAACTTTTTATTGCCATGATTCCAAATGACTATCATTTTTATTTAGTGTAACAAGCAATTAAATATAATGAAAAAGAAATGTAATATACAGAAGGAAAGTATAATATAGCACACTTCAGGATTTGATATGGCTTATATTACCTAATATATTCACCTAATAACAACCACTTGGACATGTCAATAACTTCATATATCACATCAAGAGCAAAATGTATGAAATACTTGAACTTTGAAATCATCTTAAAGAACTTTTAAAACGTGAGATGACATTTTTGAAAGTTAGAATATTGCTTAATGAAAAGTTAAGTACGTTTAGTTGTTATTGTTATGCACCTTATGGAAGTTACGGTACAATACCAGAGAGTTACCAATACAGGCGGTTTCTTTTACCTTTTGTGTCTTGGCCTATCGGGGACATTTTTTCGGGAATTACATGAACGCGAGATTGGAATGTTGCGAATAAATAACAACGTCCAATAACACACATTCCCTGATACAGCAAAGCTCTTTCCGGTTTCCATTCACCTTTCATCACTGGTCAGTAGTCAAGGAAGCCATTAATTCTGGATATTTGCAATATGGCTGGATATGATCTATTTATAGTTCAACTTTTTTATTAAAAAATATATTATATTAACAATATTTGCTATTATGAGTGATGTACAATAATATTTATAATAATATAGAAAAATATCACAGAGTATCTGTATTCACAGAAAATATCAACCAATCTATTCCAAGTATTTGTTCCATCCTAGGCTTGTGTATATTTGGGAGAATAAAGCCAATCCTTTCAAAAGAAACCAAATCTATTGTCACGTGGCATGTAACAGATTAGGTTTCAGCTATAGCTATGTAGAATTCAGCATTTTAGGTGATCAATTTGCTGACAAAAAGATAGAGATTATACGTTTTTAAACATATTTATCACCTAGATTTTTCTCAATCGAACGTTTATTTCATCTTCATCTGTACAGTTTGCTGTTGCTTCAGTAACACTTATTTTGAAAGTTGTCGTTTATCATAATATTCTAAAACCATTATATTCTTGTCTTCATCTGAAAATAAACCACAGTACAGATTATTATATAAACTTAGATCTAATCCCGAAAATATAAGCATACGGTTTGTTAAACGGCGAATTATTATTATTAAGACATGATTGAATGACAATGACGCTTATGGAGTGAATATGCTGGTCTCTGACGTTTTCATTAGGATTTTTCTGCGTTGACAAACATAGCCCAAATCCAATTTGTCGAATTGCAAGAAAAGTTTTGTAGCTTAATTTATTGCACTAATAAAGTGATTATTATTAAGTCCAGCATAAATACCAGCAAAAAGATTATGTGCAGCAGTGGCATTTCTATTAACCATTAGATAGCAATAAACCATTAAGAACCTTCGGTGCAGATAATTTTATGCTTGGAATATGTAAATCATTACTTCGTGGAATTAGGTAGATGTCATTTAGATGTCTTAAGAATGACTCCAGAGTCCAGTACTAGCCATTGCCTTGTAATGTGGGATACATGAACTGATCAATAACTGTACCTGATTTTGTAAATATTTCTGGATACTCATGAAGCTGTTTATAATTGAAATATATAGGATTTTGAGATCCACCTTGTAATGTAAATATAATGGGATCACCAGACGTTTGTAATGACATAATGACATGGTGACCATCTTTAGTGATTTGTACTGTATGCATCTGAAAAAACATAAAGGGTTTTGAAGAACTGGTGCTTTATTCAGCAATTCGAGCCAGGAATTCTAAATTGAATATACATGTAAAAAGAAAATAGTGATATTTTGTAATTTGTAATTTTTTGTCAATAAAGTTTTAGCAATATAAATGATGACCCGACAGTAGAGTGACCATTTCGAGAACTAGGGTCCCACTGATCTGCGCCATTGTACAAAGTACCGCTCCAAATATAGACAAATCTAGTCGCTTAGTGACAAAGGACTCAAATTAGAACATTCTTAATTCTTTTTCTGGGTCGCGACAAGAGCCTACCTCTGAATCCATAAAGTAAGATGCCAACACAATCAGTTTTTCTCTATCCCACAGTCTAACTGCGTTAGTGCTTTTAGATTTACCACGAGTCACAAAATATGGACCTTTATCTGGTACAAACACATAATAGTCCGACTTTTCACTCAGAAGTTCTTTTCCTGAAATAGAAGATGGTAGTTCCTTGTTTAAACATCGGTTCATTTGGGGAAACTGATCGACGACTAGCAACCTGATCAACTTGATGGTCGCAGATTTCGTCCACTCATGTTTACTACCGTGTGCCCATTTAACACCAGTTGTAAGTGGTCATTAAAAATCCAGTTTTTGTCACATTCTGCCACACTACCTGGGTCAGATGTTTTGCCATTTGACAAAGTGAGACACGGTCTAACATGAAACCAAAAACTGGAACAATCGAACAACAGAACTAATTCAGAAGCGAAGTATAAGGAATTTACAAAGACAATGATAAAAGCAGAGAGAGGTCGTACCTCATGTTGATATAACCCTACCTGTTTCCAAGTCAAAGACTTTCAGGAATGCTTCTTCATAATACACGAGGATGGTAGACTTGGTTAACAACAAATACTTGACATCGTCAAACATATTATCATTTTCACTTTTACATATATCCAGTCTCTGAAGTATGGTGCCTAGAAAAGAATGATGTTGGATTGTTTAAATTGTCGTGCACAATGTCAAATGTCTCAAAGATGTTTTTAACCTCTAAGAAGGAAATTAATCCGAACTCATAAATGATGTCAGGTTGTTCAGAATACACTATAGGCATACTTACGGGATCATATGTAAATCCTCATGGACCGAGAAATCTGCCTCTATTCCAGCCTCTGATTGCTGTTGTGAAAGTTGGTCAGCTGGTCCAGGCAATTACTGTCAAAATATCTATTAGAGGCTGGATTAGAGGCAGATGTTTTGGTCTAGAATCGAAAACTCACCGTTTTCCGTACAGCAAATTAGAATCTGAATTCTCCCTTCATCTTTGTATTTAATCATAAATTTGAGTCCATCTCGAGTGATTAAGAAATCTTTGGCGCTTATACCACTGTTATTCAGCCCCATTGACTCCGAAGTATAGGTTTTCCCTAATGATCGAGTCTTTAAGTCAAACACATAAAATTTGGTGAGTTCACCATCTTTTCCCTGAGTTAAGACTTTCGTTTCTTCTTTATTTACCTACAAAATTCAGGAACACGAAACATGTTAGACAAATGATCTATATGCATTTTTGCATTTCTATTTGGTTCAGCGTTGTTAGCAGCTCTGCCATTTATTATATATTACATATAGGTACAGCTATCGAGCTACTTTAACTGTGAATGGTTATTCAAGAGTTATTGAACGATTACTTACAACAAATGATTCCAGTTTGTGTTCTTCTCCAGTAGATAACACATTGTCTATTTTACCAGTCTTAATATTGTATATATTAATAGTTGTTTGTTCTGGGGATATTGTGGTAAATTCTTTAAGACCATGAAAATATTGTTTTAAATAAAAAAGGCGAAAAAGAATCAAGGTATCAATAATATGTTCAAAAATTTATCCAATTCCTAAATAACAGTATCATCGAAATTACAAAGCATCCTAAAAAGCTTTATTCAATTTTAAGCTCAGGCGTCTTTTATTCGCTACGCGCAGGTGTATATATTATACATCCGTAACAATGTGCGCAATCTGTCGTACGCAACATACCAACAACATAATTATCATGTTCGTAATTCACCAAGGGCAAAGAGTTCGTCAAGCCAATGACTGTCGAGAAATTTTCTGGGAATACCCTGACGCCATTCTTGCTATTTTAAGATCCGCACAGCTTCCATGAGCTAAAAACAATCGCTCCGTCAGTCCGTGGTACGTGGAGACTTTTGCGTCAACGCAATACGGAATGGAGTTCACTTAAAATAGAATGAGCGATTTGTAACGCTTACGGATACGCACTACGCTTGTGCAACTACGGACAAAAGGATTCTGGCCTTTTCGCATCATATAACCAAAAACATTGAAAATGATTTAACCAGACAGTTTAAAATATTCTTACCTTTAGCATCGTTTATAACAATAATGGCTTTTCCTAACGTTGTATAAATTTCACCTTCATAGGCAACTTCAAACTCCATAGTTGATAAATTCAATAACTTTACTCTGGTATAGCCACATATCAATACATGGGTTTCATCAACATATACTTCAAAATTAGGTACCTGGTGAGAAAAATAGGCCTTTTAGATCTTTAGATATTTAGATATTACCTCCCTTGAACTTAAAACGATTCGCGAAGATTTTTCTTCTTTGACCATGACTATCGTGAATAGGTCCAGGACAAGCATTGACCACAAATTACATAGCGGAGGTGAAGGATTTTTAAGGGGGTATGTCTGTTTTTTGGAATATTACGTGTATAGGAGCGCCAAAACAAAATATGCTAAGATAATGCACCTAAACTTGAAAAGAAAATGGTTCAGATGAAGAGTATTGGTTATGAATGTAGAAATAGTTAGAGAGCAATACTTACAAATTCTGTAGATCGTTTAATAGTTTTATTTTTACAAACATCATACAATTGTAATGACCAATCAAATCCTCGCTTAATTTTAAATATTGCATATCGTGGATTTACAAACATCTCTCGTGACCTGGAAGAAATAAATCCACAGTGACAACTGAATAAATTTTCCATTTGATAGACAAGTGCTTATGCAGGAGATGTGAATTCTGATAATGATTCAAGGTCAGAGTAGGTTTTGGATTTTATAGTGTAACCATTTATGGCCATGTACATTTGAAAACTTTGGACAGTGTCACAAGATACTAAAAAATCGTTTCAGAACGTTTGTGAAACCAACGGTGCCATTTACAACATTATTAACTGAACTGACTTTGAAAGATCTATGAAGGCAAGACTTTTAAATGCAGATACTGGATAAAAGCAGTTAAGGGTTATGATAACTGTCAGGTTATCAGCTTTGACTAGAAACTGGTGTTGTGATGGTACATACATTATTCTAGCTCCTTCATTACCATTACCAAACTGTCTTAAATGTTTATCATTAGTTTTACTCAGATCCCATATTCTAACAGCTCGATCTTCTCCTGTAGTTATTATAACTCGACCATCAGCAGTAGCTACATCTGTCACAGGTGTAGGATGTTCAATCAATATTCTCTGTGTTCGCTTCTCAATATCCCATACATATACATAGGAATAATAGTTAAAATAGACATAACGACAATCTATTGTAAGTTTTAATTCTCCCTGAGCAAATATATTATCTTGACCTAAAAATATAAATGAATTAAAAAGATGCAGCTTAATCATTTGGTCTGTAAACATTCGTGTGTAGAATTGTCAAAAAAAAATCATAGACAAATACACACTTAAAACGGCAAGCCTTTTCAATCTTGTTTCAAAATTTGCAACTGCATTTTGGAAACGATACTGGTTAAACTGAACATGGAATACCAAACATATACATAACATTGGTACTAATTACATATTCATGTTCTTTTAGGAACGGTACAATATTAGCTACATCTAACTTATGGAGAATATACTACCGGTGCTAAAGGGACACCGTATAATAGAAGTATATAAAATAGCATTAAATACAGCGTTGTAGGCCACGAGGTCTCCCCGAGTTAACATGACTGGTCAGATAGTGACATCTGATGTTCAGATACATCCTTACCTTGTATATTGTCCATATCACCTGTTTCTATATCATATACTGATAATACTGGTTTAAATTTGTGGGTTATATATAATTTGGTGGAATCCATTGATAATACCATCGCCTCACAATATACTTTTATCACATTTATAAAATTCAGTATATACACATCAAATAACACTATGTTTTTTCTTTGGTTCACTGTACAAGCTACATAAATACCTCTACCTAGAAATAAAAAAGGTCTAAATTGTTAGCAGTACTGAGCAGAAGTTAAATTAATCCTTAAGCGACATTAAGGGGAAGGGATCACATTAAATAACGTCAGCTAACATTACAACAGTAGAAGGTGTTTTTTTTAGGCAGACCAGAAATGCGATGGGAATGGGGGTGATGGATGGTGCCGCTTTATCTTTTGTACCCGAGTAGGAGGACAGATTGGTTGTCTGGAAGATGACAAGTTAAACATATCTGCCCGTCACTCCTGAAGCCCCGCCACATTGTTTTCATTCTACTCAATATAGAAACAACAATAAACAATGTTTACTAACCGACACATATAGATTTCTCATCTATTTCTCCAGACTGACATTTGGATTTCTTGACCAGTTTTCCCGTTAAAACATCGTGAATTGATAAATCTCCATTCCCCACTACACACAGCAGTTCGTTATTTTTACCACACAGACAGAACGAAGCAGCAGCGGCTAGTCTATATATTTCTACTCCAGTGTTTGTATTAAAGCCGAGTATTCCCTGAGAAGATTTCACCACGACAATACGATTCATCCCCAACTTTATATAATCCATGTCGTCAGCAACATCATCAAATACTTTGAGTAGTCTCCCCTTGTTTACATCCCATAATATGATAGATCTATCCCGAGAACCTGAAAAAGGATATATGTTTTGAAATATTTTTGGACAATCATTCGTATATCTAATGGCCGAGAGTTAATTTGTATCTTAGTATATGTTTTCCCCCGAGTAGATCAAAGCTATATTAAGAACATTTATAAAGTTCTTTTTCCGTTGTTATTTTTACCAGTTGATACCAGGTGAGAGTCAGTAGTCAGAACTGAGAATGACCCGACTTGGCCCCAGTTTTTAATTTGTTATCTTTGGGAAAGAATTGCCTGTGGTCCCTGCTTGACCCCTCACCTAAAAATTCATAGAAACGACACTGATGATATAGTTAAAAGCAAGACTTACAAGTAACGGCTATTTGACTAGAGTCTGATATGTCTACACTAGTAGGTACACCCGAATGTTGAGCTAAACAATGTAATAAACTACCACCAGGTTGTGTTAGTATTAGATGGTCGGGTTGAAGATAATAGGTGGAACTCTTCTTACAATCATCCAGCAGCTTGGAAAGTCCCTAAAATGATGTGGCATATTCATAAGGGTTGCTATCAAACAGCACAATTAATCAAATTCAAGAATACATTGATTATTGATTACAACACCACAAGGTGCTTAATCAGCAGAATCTGCAGGGAAAGCGAAAACAATTCGTCTACATACTACTTAGAATCGCACAGCTTGTAGGAAAGAGTATTCCAGTGTCCCATCTAAACGACTTTTCCATATCAACCCCTATGACCTGTTTCTCTGTCCCTATTTCACAAAACCTTAGCAAGGAGACGTTTACAGATGAAGACAGTCATCAGCACCATAATTACCTTTGTGGGTTGTAATCGTCCAAGGATCTGTGAAGGAAGTTCATTTGGATTATACTGAAGTGCATTCTGTGATAATTGTAGAACTTCTTCAACGTTCTTGATGTCTTCATCATCTGGAAATTCCCAGCGAGTAGCATGGTAGGTATCAAGTAACTGTCTTAAAATAGTATCAATATTTTCTATAGACAATTAGTCAGGTATTGATGAAGATACTCTGGGTACTGTTTTACAAAATTTGAATAAGATACAATGATTTTAAGAAATAGAGATATCTGATGAATGAAAAACTTATAAATCACCCATAGTCACCCTGTTTGTGAAACTGGTCCCTATACACCAACAAAGCGGCCAAACATTCCACGAAGAATGCGACCGAAGCAATGATGCTGATCATCGAATTGATGAGCACAACCTGTATCCTAAGTTTTTGTCTCATCTGAATGAATGTACTATTCCAATCTAAATCTGGAAAGTGCATCAATGTGATGAAAACGACAAGATCGAACGAAAGCAAAACCGAGAGATTCAAAAGACTTAACCCACCTTAATCCTCGAGACTTTAGTGCTGCTAAGATAAAGTCATATGAACACAAACATTCTGATTTGAGTAACTCAAGTTGATTGGCATGTAGTCGATGGTAGGCTAGGTTGTTGATCTTTCTATTGTTGAATGTTTCACCAAACATCAATGGTTGAGATGCCACGTGTCTGTCAGCTGTTGACCCATCACTTTTACCTTTAACTGGTTTTGATTTACCTTCAAAGAGCATAGAAACAAATCCATACAACGTAGCCTTTTCAGCTTCTAGCATTTTTGTGGAAGCATGAGACAATCTGCTGCACAAGTTGACGTAGAAGTCACCTTTTAACGTGCACCAGGTTTAATTGAATAAATACTGTTACGGGTACACTCGTGTTTTCAGATGAACCAATAATAATCAATACTCCACACAGATTAAAACATTTATAACGTCATAAATCGAAAGCCAACTTCTATCATTCCTACCCTGATGATTTTCCAAAGACATAAAGTTCTTACCATTTGACCAAACACCTGAGAAGAAATCGGCTAACATTCCTTCCATCATTCTTTTCGTTTTTAAATCAGGAACATAACGTAGTTTGGCTGCTTCTACAAACTTTCTGTGATACCAATATGTCACTCTAGCACCATCAGCCCCTCTTGTTACTAAATATAGAATTCATTAGAATTTATAGCGGACAGTAAAGTGAAAGATGACATCGATATTAAAACAGCGATATTCAGTAGCTCTTGAACGGCTCAAGTATATTTTGCCACACCAACAGATGAAAGTTATCCTGTAAGACGGTATGACTGAAACAGTGGTATTTGCTACTAGATGCATCAATTGCTTCGCTAACATCGTGATGAGGCAGGAAACAATCCGGGAATAAAGAATATGTTGCTGTGGGTGACATTGTCATGATCTAATCCCATTTGAATAACTGTTGGTTTTCTCCTTAATCGAGTTCAAAATACTTACCAAAATACTGCTCTAGTTCAGATCTCATTCTGACTAACAACAATGGCGGAAGACGTCTTATTGGTGGAGTCCAATATACATATACATCATTTAATACATCATCATCACACGATAAAATATCTTCTAATTCAGCTTCAGTCAGACCGTTTTTACCTTTTTAACAAGAAATATACACCTGTTACAATCGTCCTCCTGGTAATGGGGTTACAAATAGGGGGGTTGAATTACTTAATTGAGAAACAACTATCGAGGTTAAGGTTACAAAATGGATGATACAATTTAAGGTACAAACCCAATTTTGTACGAAAATCATTTACAAGGTGATGCTTCTTGTACTTACTCAGTGTTATATATCCCAAAGCTCTGGATACCAGAAGATAACCATGGAGTGATTCCACCCTGGAGAAGAGATGATTGACCATGCCTCGAACTGTGATCTCTAATACAGTCTGATCAGGTTCGGTATAAGATTTCCATAAACAAGCTTCATCAAATGATAGTTTCAGAAAAAGAGGTAGTGGACATTGGTTGAAGGCATTTAACAGGATTTTCATTTGTTGAGGTTGTAACTTTCGTTTCTTGATTGAAAACCATTTCTCTAATATGCCTTTAGCATCCTTTTCGGGTAGGTTTGGCACTTCTATAAACGATTTCGGAATTTTTGAGTAGATAGCCTGTGGATGAATTAAAAATTCATAATATTTTTACTTTCTCAATGTTCTATAAGTGTAAATACTGGTCTTTCTGACATTTTATGGTTGAAGGAGTTTCCCAGTGTAGGTGTATGAAGCGGTCAGGATGGTCACTTACATGTCCTTGGTCAAAATGTACTGCTTTTGAATGTATTTCAGAAATCTCAGATAATTGGATCTCACCTGAAGTTTGGGGAAATATTCATACTGAGCTTCAGGTAATGTTGAGAGCACCAGTTTCACATTAGATGGAAGTCTCTTGGGTAACCATGACAACTGTGTAGCACCACCTGCAGGATCTAGCTGATCAAGGGAATCCAGGAATATGATCAATGGTTCTTGCTTTGTAGCCAATTGTAAAGATTCTAAGAAGCTGTCGGATATATCCCGTAAAGTCTGAAACATTTAATGTTCATATTAAATTTGACGATACTGTGTAATCATGTGCTGGTGTCTGGAACCATCTTGCTGAAACTACAAAAAGGTAGCTATACTCATAGAGAACGATTAAGATTTTTAGACTTACCGTTTTATTTCCCACATCTTCTTTGCCATAGATCAGGTTTATTTGTTTTGTGAGACTGAGTAACAGCGAACCAATACCAGAACTCTCGGGGGATGTTCCTAAAAACCTAATTACAGAGCAAAGGTCCTTTCAGAAGGTTTAAATACATAGTATCATAAGATATTTGGTAGATCTGTATTTCATAATCTAATCATATGTTAAAAACTACTGCCTTTGAAGATTATCATAACATATTTCATTGCAAAGTTGATATAAAATCATATTCTTGCCCATGGTGAAAGCTTTTAAAATTTTGATAAATTCAATTCAATTCTTGCAAATCTATGACTATAGAGAAGTTCTAGTCATATGGAGTTTGCATAATTATTTCTCATAATTCACAAATCATACTTACCGAATAATCGTTATGACTTTATTACCAAACCAGGATCGACAACTGCTAGCAGACTTGGCTACTACTGATGTTTTTCCTGAACCAGATTTACCAAATACAACACAAGGTGCGTTACTATCACTTGCTATATAACTCTTGATTTTCTGTCAAAAAACAACAGACATTCACAGAATGATGTGATGTGTTTGAACAATCAATTTGAATGGATCAAATACCACCGATGAATGCGAGCATAAATGTTGGGGTAATATAGGATAAAGCCTCATGTGTCATTCTAAACATAGAGTGGTTTAGATAACCTTATATCATTGAGGGCAAAAATGAATACATTTCATGATAATTTTCTGGTTAAAGCAGAATAATCACCATTTCTTACCGTCAGTAGATCTTGTCTACCATAAAATGATTGGCACTTTTCTTGACAGAAAGTAGTATGTTGTACAACCTCTTGATAGGTTGGGCTGTGTATTAATGATTTTTCTTTCTCGGCTATAGCTTTAACAATCATGTCTTTCATATCTCTTTCAAAATCTTCACACAGTTTATCAATATACTTCTTATGACTAGATGAATGGTTTGGATCAACTCCTGAAAAATAAATTGCCTCAAATACGAGAAGATCTGGCCGTTGACATCTGACTATATATTCTGGTATTGCTCTTCGGCCCGGGTGGAGACATAGGTTGGATTTTTAAGCGGGTTTCATCTGTCAATGGTGTAAGTCACAGATGGGGACTAACATGACAAAGATCTTTAGGGACGACCTATTACAGATTGAGCAGGATTTAAGGCATGTGGACAGTTTGTAATCGGTAAATTTTTTTATAAAGTTGATGCTTGTTAATTATTCACAGAAACACTACTGAGAAGGGCATATAAATAGCATCACCATCTCACTTACCGTTTTCAGACCAGGTTATATTATAAGTTTTATAATGATCTTCTGGTAGAGCAGGTTTTAATTTCATCTTCTGTAGTTGTTCTAACATGTCTCTAGCTTCTACTATATGTTCCCGATCTCCTGTACATTCTATAATACAGCAAAACTAATCTTAATCTGGATGAACATTCCATAGGTGCCTTTCAGTTGGATAGAGGGAAGAGGTTCCGAGGATTACTCTGAACAAATGTCACGAAGTTCTTCTTTATCATTCTTTTTCATAACTTTAATTTATAAAATATACCATCGTGATTGTCCTTAATTATGAAAACGAAATGCTCGATATAAGCCATGTAGGGCTATTTGACAATCTTATTGACATTATAAAGAATATTTTTTAGGAAAACCTGATGTTTGATGTTTTTCATACGTCAGAACCTCGGTGCAGGAAACTTAAAGCCTCGCTTTTCCATTCACAGTTCCTGCTTATCTTGGCCAGCATGCCACTTAATCAAAATTTTACATCTGTATGTACCTTTATATCTACTTAATAAATAGCTAGATGGTTGACTATCAATATCATCAATAACTCGATGAAACCAGAAACTTCTTTCGCCATCTTGTTTACTCTTCAATATACCTCTTCTTATTTCTACTTCAGTTACTTTAATGATAAATATGAAAGAGATCTAGATTTTCACTATACGAGAGATACTTCTCTTGCCATCCATGATCTGAGGACATAGAACATATTATGTTCTAGGTCACTAAAGTATTGAACCAATCAGATGCTGTGTTAAAGAAAAGGGTGATAGATAGTTAGATGATAAAAATTTTATGACAAATTTGATTATTAGACTTTGATAATTTTGAACATCAATCGTAAGTTACAACCCAACCTACCAGACATTTGGTACTTATCTACGTCGACAATTTCAGGACAGATTTTAGCTGTGTCTAATATGGTATCTTGAAGCTTTTCACTTTCTTCAAACCATTGCTGCTTAGCTTTTTTCTTGTCCTCTGCCTCTTTAGACAGAAAAGATGGAATGTGGGAGCTAATAGGTTGTAACACATAGGTAGGAGGTACTGCGTTTTCATCTTTTGAAAACCATCTGGAATAAAATGTTAAAATCCGATGTAATATCGTCATCGTACTAACATAAAAATGAACAAAATAAGTAACATTAGATGTGTGGAGTTGACCTACCCGGTAGCAGTGGCATTAGCTGTTCTGGCGGAAATGGAATGACCGGAGTCGCTGGCGACATACGGCTCTCCACACCTGTACCATTGGCCCAGATGCCTTGCACGAGCTTGATCTAAAAAAAAGGCTACCCTAGATTTTTTGATGATTTTTGTCTTTCTTATGAGATCTAGCTTCCTACGTTGTTCTCTGCAATGATTGTAACTTTGATATTGAAATAAATGCCTCTTTCCACCTACCTATCTAAATGTTCTTTAGAATCATCAGACATGTTTTCTTTGAGTATTTCGTATTCTTCAGCATCAATCTGTCTTGGGAAATATCTGTAGCCATATTTGTGGGACAGGAAAGTCTTAAATTAAAAAGCAGAGACATTCCTGCTGATTGGATGGACCATTATATAACACTGAATAACGATTCATTTAGTCGAACATGCAAGAAAGGAAATGGATTTGTACGTAGTACATTCCTTCTCCATTTGAGTTTAAAAAACGGGCACCATCTAGGACTTCCCTTGGCGCCTTTCAGCTTCTCAGACTTCAATCAACGACAATAGGAAACCCTATTGCTACTTCTTTGAGATAAACTTACCACAAAACACGGTCCTGTCGATATTTTCTTACATAAATCCACTTCCCTCAGACACAGCTCTGACGTCATATGATCGTCTGTAGCCTCATCCCGTACACCCCATCTCATATCAACAACTTGAAATTCATACCCCTTCGACTGACAGAACTCTTTTAATCTGGGATAAACTCTTTCTATCAATGAATTTCGTTCATATAGAGTGTCTGAAATAATATCAATCTCATTTTTAATAGCAATATCCAAAGATCTTAATTGCTTCAATCTCCACCACTAAAATAATATTGCTTACAGGGGTTGCTGTCGCTAGTTTAGAACTGACACACCGGATGTCACTCTGCCACTAGGTTCGTCAATGTCAATCCAACAAGGAGATTCCAAATAATGTTATTCTAGTATATCTGTTGGTGACATATTGCCAATTATATTATTGGTATGTGATGGGGTGCATTAACGAGTATCAGTACAAAATATATACACAGCACCATTAGGTAAGATCGAAATTGTATTTTTGGTGTTTTTTATGTCAGTCAGATGTGGCCTCCTACGCACTGAAATAAATACCTGTAAATGTACTGCTGGTGAATATTCGAACTATTTTAGCTGTTGAAGGACATTCTAAAGTTAGGTTGCCTTTCAAGATCTCTCCAACATCTCCTACTTTTCCATCGTCTACACTGTAAAGTAATACTTGAAAGATAAATATCTAGATCATTAAAGTGCAACGTTGTCATATCGTGAAACGTAGGTAGCATATCATTTTCATTTTCATAATTTTTCAGACCAATGGGTTACCTTAGGCCCCTCAATGCCCAACGTGTTTCTCCAAGCGTTTTCCTTTCCCCAGCCTACCTATACTCTATTTGTTTCATTGGATACGACCCCCAGTCCGCCCAGTAAGCACTGCAAAATATTTTACATAAGAGATCACCAAACTTACTTGTTTTCCTCTAACTCCCTCGATTCCGGAGCATTTTTCAGGTCTGTATAAACCGGCATCGAGCTACTACATCCCATTCTTATCCGTTACACTTTTATAAAACTCGTGACTACTTAATGCATATTATTGCTGAAAAATAGGGCGTACTTATGAAATAATGGAATCAAATGGAGTATAGTTGATTCCATGAGGGCAATGTTAAGAAATATATATGGTCAAAATAGCTTTTATATCTTACGCTACCATTGCAACAAGGCTGGTATCAAATAGTGAAAATGGAAGGCATATTTTGTAAATGATAATGAACATTTGCAAATTTGACATTGTGGTAGCTTATTCTATACCAGGTACCTCCCAAGAAATGTAAATAATTTGAATATGTATACAGTCGATCTGAACCTACTGCGATCGTGGGGAACTGCACCTTTTTTAGGTTGAATATATTCAAGACTAAAATCAACCCCTCATAATGGTACACCTGTCCCTTTAAAGGATAAGACCAAGATGGATATGACTGGTATTGGTATTTTTAATCTAAACTTTGAGTGAGAAAGGGAACAGATCACAACAATATTTACCTGTCATTTCTTTCTCGTCACGTGTAAATCCGACATTTTGTATCCACAAATAAATTCATAAATATTGACAAAGAATGAATGAAATAGACCAGGTCAATGAGTATTCTATATTATTACCATTACATATATTACACTAAAAATGACTGGTTAATAGACGTTATCATTTACCTTAGATACCAGTAAATAGATCAATATAAGCAATGTAATGTAGTTTATTGTCTAGGTATATTATACTTGTGAGATTAGGTCATTAGACCAATACAAACGGCCGATCATTAAGAATAAATATAATACTCAATGCTCTTTGAACAGTAAATTTCGATGAATTGAATTTATAGGCCAAATATTTTTCAAAACTGTTTAAACAGTGCACAGTCTAATATAATGCTCTTTGAAAAGAAATCGCAAAGATATCATGTGAATTTGATGTTCCATGTGTCGCTGTATAGGTTGTTGAATCGATACCTTACTAAATACGTTTTGAAAAAAACCCTTGTTACATAGATGGACTTCTATAAATATTAGTCATCTCCAGTTGAATAATTGATTATAACTCGGACCACTTTTCATAACACACTCGCGCCATTTTTTTTTCACTTAATACTCCACGAAACGAAAATGTGTTTGATTTTGAGTGATGTTCACTATGGCATACGACTGTCCAGCCTAGCAGACGACAATCCAGCTCGTAATTATGTTCCTGGATTTGTTCTGGAGAAATATTTTAGGAAACAGCTCAAAATAGAACCAGTTGTTAAAATTTTTACTGATTGATTTTTGAATGATTGAGCTCACTGACGGTTATCTGTGTCACTCATTAGAATAGAATTTTAACTTTAAGTTTGTCTGCAAATATAACAGAAAATATGAAAAGGTGATAACTACGTGTAAGAATGTTATGTCATCAAAACAGTTTTTTTGATTAAAGACAAACCAGGTACTTTTGTAGTGTTTGAGTATAAATAGTTTTTGACAAGTTGTACGAGAGTTCATGTCATTATTGTAGTACAGTTAAAAACTAGTGTTAAACAATAATGATTTGAAATGTATGATGGTGACTCTCAGCAACCAAAACTGGAGAGCACTTTTTTTTACTTTTTTGTATGCTATCAATATCAATCTAAAAACTTTGAATTTAAAAACATCATGTCTTGTGTGCTTTCTGAGCAACCAAAAGGAGTAGACAGTTTTTACCTTGGCGTGTTATTCCATTAAACTACAGGTATAGTGAACATTTTAAAAACATGTCATGCAGTATGCTTCTTTGAAAAGGCTATATATAATATTGGTTTTTGAATTGCAGGTAAAATGTACCTCTATTATATTGCGCCTACAGAAAATGTTAGATCATTGAAAAAAAAAAAATATTAATATTTTAGATCTATATACCTATATAATTATCGTGTATTGTTAAAACTGTATCAAATATAGTTCTATGTTGTAAATAAAGGTTACATTGTTTAAAGAATTTAATCTTTTCTTTCGCCTCCATCCCCACAATCCCTGAGTGACATTGCCCATCTCCATTAGCCTCAAAACTGAGCATTCCAATAATTATATGGTACGCGCCATCTTATAACCTTCGCATAGGACCTAGTGAAAAAGTCACCTCGGAAGCTATACTCGAACGAACATAGAAATACATAGTAATGTCAGTGCAGAAGGATTATTTTCCAATATATTAATATACATTTTATAACATGCAAGCTATTAAACTATGAAGTATATCCGTAAAAACGAGATGGATTTAAGTTCTTCTCTGGTTTGGTTTTCTTCATCACACTTGAGTTGTCGTTGGTTACCTCAAATTCATTATAGACTATCAATTGTTCATACTTTTCTTACCTAGAAATAGAATGAAAGATCAGTTACTAAATTACTAAAATTCCTACTCCTAGCATCTAACTAAAACCCTATCTTTAACTCTTAAATTATTAAACAAATATTATGAAAGATGGAAGAAGTTAATTTAAGTCTAAATTATGATAATGAAAATCATCTTATTAAGTCAAATTCAAAATTCTGAAAATGGAAAAATATTTTTACTCAATGAAAATCAAAATTCTGAAAATAGAAAAAGAAACTACGCAAGAAAATAGAAAATATTAACCCTATACCCTAACACTTAGTTTAAAGTCCTATATTTTAAGAAGTGGTTACATTCTTCGTCCAAGTGAATCAAATAAATGATCGAAGGGACCATACAAACGACCAAGGGAAGCAGATATACGTCCAATGAAAAGAAATGGAATTGGAAAATAAAAGATTCTGTTAGTTTCGGGAATTTCGGGGTTAACATTAGAGGGGTTGGGTTATTATTAGTAATTGGCCACCACCACAACAGTGCACGGGAAAAGGAAAAAGGAAAGAGTAAAATTCCCTTAACTAACAGACTCTTTTGAGCAACGTTACAACCAATCAAATACAAAATATGAATGTAACCATTAGAATTTAATACGAGATTTATCAGAACTTAATGACAATTACTTTGAATAAAGGATTAAATCGAACCCTGCACCTTACTCATTATTCGTACCGCCGTATCAGTGAGCTGATGGTGCAGCTACACTTCACTGGTCAAAATCTCTAGCAGGAGAAAGTGGGAAACTAAACCTACCTTTTTATAAGACTTTTTTCCTCCATAAAATTATTTCCATTTAGAATTGGTTCTATCATCGAAGCCACTCAAGTGCCACCAGGCTGGGCAAAAAATCTAAAATATGGAAAGAAATCACTGTGTAAGTAGGCTACAGTCACAAGATGAACGAACGTCTACATATATACATGTATATGAGTAATGGAGAAAATCCGAAAACCAATGTTTCAATGTCTCTCTATTGTCCCATTGGAATATGGGGTTTTCAATGAATAAAGACAATATAATCAACAATTACGTACCTTATAACAGTGGAAGTCTCTCCCAGCATAACAAGTGAGGTACTTTTGCCTTCAACCTCTTCTAAGTTCCTTGGTTACACACAGTAGCTTTTATTTCTTAAACCCTGATTTCAGCTCACATCCAAGTTGAGATTTAAAACAATAGAGTGTAGAGATATGTTGAGTATTTGTTTGATTGGTCGTTCTTTCTATCTTTATAGAATTCTGTAGAAGCCTGCCTTATAATTAGTAGACAAATCGAACGTTCCCAGTCAAGAATTTTCGAACCGACTGAAAAGAACTCGCTAATCAAGACTTTGTAAACTCTATTGTACTACACTGAGCACAATTCATCCCTAATAGGATTAAACAAAAGATTTTCTCCCTTAACCAATTTTTGTAGCTTTTAAAAAGAATGAAAGGGGGCATCTACAAATGATGGGTTAGGAGAAATATATTATATATGTCGACTAGAGAGGAGTAGGGGTAGTGGGGGAATTAAAAGTATACAAGGGGGATGGAGCATCTAGTGGCGGTACAACTGTGGCTAAAACTTGTCTCTTCATAAGTTTGTACTTTGTATTCTCATTTGTACCCCCACTTGATTCCTAAAAAATTCCATAGTGTTTTTTTTTTCACTTTTTTGCCCCCAAAATATGTGTTAGAGTACATAATACATTAACCACTGGGGGTAACCACTAGGGAGGAACTTGTAAAGGAGGGATACCACTACATGCCCATCATACTAATTCCATTATCCTAATTTTGTTCTAGGGGAGTACACCCTCAGACTCTCCACGGGAAGATTGCGCCTATGGTGCGTTAAGTCAATTGTGAATTTTCATGTGCTCATTAAGACAGTTTGTCCAGGAAAAACATTTTTTACTAACATCACAGTAGTGTTGTTTCTCTCCATTCGCGTGTGATCATTAGGCCTTTCTGAACGAGTAAAACACACTTTTTAGTTTTGATAAACATCACATTAATATGGTTTCTCTCCAGTATGTGTTTTCATGTGTTTATAAATACTACTTTTTTGAGAAAAAACACATATTACAAACTGTAAGGTTTCTTTCCAGTGTGAACACTCATAAGATAAGATATGATATCTAGCTTACTTGCCTCAGCAAAACACATTTTATAAACATCACATTTAAACGGTCTCTCTCCAGTCTAAACTTTCATGTGAACGTGGAGTGAACTTGTATCACTTGTATCATTTTTTACAAACACTTCATTGGTAATTTTTCTCTTCAGCATGTGTATTTATATGTGAGCATTGAGATAATTTGCCTCAGCAAAACACATTTTACAAACATCACATTGATAAGGTTTTTCTCCAGTATGTACTTTGATGTGCTCATTAAATGTAGGCCTACTTATCTGAGTAAAACACTTTTTACAAACATCACATTGGTGTGGTTTCGTTGGAATCAGGACAACTCGGACCAAAAGATTGGACTGATCAGATCCACGAATAGTTGAAAAAATTTTTATGACATTTATGTAGTCTGAATCTTTGTTTTTAGTGAATATGTCGTGGTCTGTGTCCAAATCTCAGCGGAAACGGAAGTAAACTGAAAGTATCATAACAAACCGAATTGTTTTCTTCTTGTGTACGTCTCTCAACGTTTTGTTTCAGTTCCAGCTAATATTTACAAGAAGAATCATAAATCATGAATATTTTACACCACAAAAGGTAATGTTGCTTTAGTAGATGATGAAATTAAAGGTTTAGTAAGGAAAATTGGCCGAAAATAGAGATATTTGACGATAATTTCTTGCATAAAAATTGTCTGTCAGTGCACTGACTTTTTTAGGCCTACCTAGAGAAGGCTAATCTGCTGACCTAAAAAAGTGTGTCTCATTGCACACTTCATGTTGTCTGTTAAAATTGGGCCTTAGTTTCCACCCAGAAAACCTGTGTTCCACCTCACTATAACCTCAAATCATTATAAATGTTGTGTGTACCATTTGAATTTGTATTTTAATATGTGTTATGGTTTTCACTTTAGTTGGCATGTCAGAACTAAGAAGAATATAGAGAGAGTCAGACGTGATGAAGAAAAGGCTGCAGAAGAAGAGAAAGAAAAACAGCGAAGAATCGCATTAGCTGTAAGATATTTTAGGGTTAAATTGCCTCGGTACTCCTTGAATCTAGAGTTTTCTATGTCATAAAAATGGATAAACATAGCATATCAAAGGTCCCTTGATGGTTGGAATGGGAAAAATACACAGTACCGGTAATGGCAAAGTTTCCCTCATTGAACACTGTATGATGTTGATTATGCATAAGAAGAAAAGTTCAAAGACTCCGTTTAGTCTTCTATTAACTATTTTAAATTTGTTTTTTACAGGAACAAGAAGCCAGAACAGATTTATTACGGTCAAGGTCGAAAAATAAACTCAAAACATGTGACAGAAATGAAATAGAACAAGGATCTTCCACTGATATAGTTCCTAGTTCTACTGTTACACAGCATGGCAATATCAACTTCTTTAAAGAAATTGAAGATGGGGTAAGTAAGATAAAAGGTATGCCAACTACCAAAGCGAATGCCTTTTTTAAATGGATAACAGGCCACAATCTTAACACCAATTCAACCAGTAGAATATAAATTAAATTACTCTTTTGACAGTCTAAAAGCATGCACAGACATTTTAGGTCATTTGCACAAATGGTGGTTGCGGCTTCTAATCTTGGACAGTGTGTGATAGTCTTGGGACTTTAAATGAGTCATCTTTTCTCATCTTAGCTGTAAATTGGTACCGATAATCCAGTAATGATTGCTAAATAACAAGTCGTTAATTCCTTCCCCACTTTAGTATTCATTCATCTTATATTTACTATGTAAAATTATGATATTGATATTATATTAATTGTAGTTAAGAAAACAGGGTATTAATGAAGAACATGCTAAAGAGAAAAAAGTTGAAAAAGAGAAATGGGAGAGAAGTGTTGGTTTATTAACATATTTAGGGAAGAGTAATATTGAAGAACAAAGTAAGAAAATATTCTATAATAACTATTTACATTAGTTTTAGTTATTTACGTGACCTGATGTATTTTAATGAACATGCATAACTGAGTCTGAATTAAGTCCTTTACGCTTTTGAGAGAAGGCCACTGTTATCTAAGCAATCCATTTTTTATTTTGAATACCTCTAATGATCTCAGGGCTTGTTCAGGTAGGTGTGGTAAAAGTATTTGCATTTTGATGAAAAAAAGTGCAGATAAATTGAAATAAAATTCCAAAAATAGTACTTTTAAGTGCAATTATAAGCAAACAGTTTTTGAAAAAATAGAAATGCAATATATAACTTGAGATGTCAATATTTTTTCTAGATGAAACACCATGGTATTTGAGTGGTAGAAAAAGAAAAAGAGATGAAACGGAAGAGGAAGAGAAAAGAGATCTCAAGTAATTTATGTTTCTCTTACTCAAATAATTTGCACATTATCTGTATTTGATATTTAATGTGACATGTCTTCAGCTTTCTTAGTTTTCTTTTTCTTTCAATTAATACACAATTTATCTTGTCATAAAGAATAATCATAGAGGATATATTGTGTAAATATTTACTTTCTTGGCAGACAGAACTGAATTTCAACATGTAAATAATATTGTATCAAATTATAATTTGAAATTCATAAAGCATTCTTCGGAATATTTTGTACTTAATACACTGGGTACATACATCTGTACTGAATATATATACTTCCTTATTATAATATCTCAGGCAGACAACTAATCCAATAGATACACAAACCTGTCTTATTTCTTTCATTTTGAGGTTAAAACATCAAATAATCTTGTCTGGAAAACAGAAACGTCAATGATCAGATGAGATATCTAGAAGACCTGAATGCATGTTGTGTCTCATTTTGATTTAGATTCAGTCAGCCCATTAAATTTCATTGGTTAGATTTTATCATTTAAATGTTTAACAACCTCTATAAATAATTATAAATCAAGCTCTACAGCCTGGCATTGATCGTTTTATTTCTGTGTTGTAGACATCTAAAAGAAGAAAAAAAGAAAACCAATTTAGATCCATTATTAGAAATGAGGGAATTTGTTGATAAGAAAAAAAAGAAGAAGAAACATAAAGACAAGGTCTGTTTTTGATGATCATTTTAAGTGAGCCAAGTTTGGTTCTTCTTTCTTATGTAACATAATATCTGGATGGTTTTACTACATGTCTAGTTGTTAGATTTCTAAACCCTATTTCCTGCTGAAATGAGACGGTAGGTAGAGGGGCTGTGTGCATGGTAAAGATCCTCAAAGTATTGGAAATAGAAAAAAAAGTGTCACCTAATCATGAGTAGAACAGTTGTAAATATTAGGAACATCGTCTTAAACATTGGCTGCTATACCTAGCGTCCTAGCCATCTTTCTTGTATCATAGATTTGGTTGGATAGTACCCCATCACATACAGACAATCACATAATATTTACAGTCTGTTTATTGAGGGCTAAGATTAGCTATGTTCGCTGGTGTTTGCTGCATTCCGTGAGACAAGAAAGGTGGCTATTATTATTGTAGAAGTTCGCAATAGCTTGACCATTGCTGTTCACATCTATTGACTATGTCATTATAATTTCAGAAAGATAAAAAACACAAACACAAAGAAAGAGAGAGAGAAAGAATAAAGTCCCTACCCAAACCAAGTACTGGTAAAACAATAGATCAACTTAGAGCAGAACGTTTAAAACGTGAAAAGGCTGAAAAAAATAGGACTGCAGAATTATTTTCAAAATTAAAGGGAGATGACTCTGAAAATTCGTCAGAATCTGAAGAAGAGGATAGAAGTCGCAAATATAATTCTCAATATAACCCAGAACTTTCTAGAAAATATAAAAAACATAAACCTAATGATTACAGCTGATGGAAAACACACAGTTCTCCTTGTTAACATCAAATGGATTTCTGGTCTGAATTAACATTTACGATTGCAAATATTAAGCTTGTATATTACTTAAGTCAGTATTGAATTAAAATTGATAATCGGTCGTAAAGATAATGGTAGAATGAAAGATGAAAAAACGAAATGGCTCATATCGTTTTGAAATTTTATTGCTGTTGTAGGTGGCAAAATTCTATATTAAAGAGAAATGCCTTTAAATTTTATGATATATTTCTATCATTGCAAATTTTTCAAAGTCTATCATTAAAACTCAACAAAACTTCATCTAGTTAGTCAAAAATATTGTTAAAAACATTATTAGCATGTACATAAGGAGTTGAATATCTTTTTGTAATACTACAAATTAAATCGATGACTATTTACTAAAATACATGTAGATACTTACATTTATATTATATTGTGGATTGAGATGGATTTATTTGTTTCTCCTGAATTTTACATTGGAAAGTTGAAAGTTGTTTTGTTATTAATTAATATTAAACAAATGTAAAAAGATAAAGCTGTGTCTTGTACTAAACACTAAATGTGGTATTTGCTGTTTGCACCCATCATGTCCGGCCCGTAACTATTTCAAGGTTTCAGGAGCAAGTAATAGATTTTGGAGTTGTGTGTGTGTGGGGGAGGGGGGTGTCAAGTATTTGACTGAACATCATCACAGAGTCTGCACCTGTACATTACCATTACAATCTCCAGATATTTTTCCAGTGAGGGGTAAAGATATCCCAGTCCCCGTAAAAAAGATGCAACAAGGATCGCAACAGTTTGGAAACCAAGGACAGGGATAAATTCATACATCCTTGTACTAGGCACATGCATGCAAAGGTTATGGACATTATCTGTCTTTGTAATTTGGCAAAAGAAGTTGATAATAACAAGCTAATAACACTGCTGATTATAGATGACGGAAACGTATATGATACGTTGATGTTTTATGAAAAAGAAAAGAAGTCAATTAAGTGCATGATTTGTGCCCATTGAAATGTGAACTATTTCTCATTAGATTTCTTCAGAAAAAGAGATCTAAATTCCATCTTTTGGCTTCATATGTAATTCTATTTGCCCAATGGAGTAGTATTTAAAAACTACATCAGGAATTTTTTTTATCTTGCTTCCTTATTAAAGACCAGGGTTTTGTGATCAATGATGGAATTCGGAATTTTATCCTTCAATTTGATCATTCTTTAAAATTAATTAAAAATTTAATTAAGTTGTTCCTGACACCTTACACCTGAGGGTGTACTATGTTATATTGATCCTACTACGAGAATGAACTTCAAAATATAGGAGAAGAAATCAAACTGTCAGTGCTATGTTAGAAACGTTTCATAAGATTTACATTAAATAAAAAATTGTTTACCCGCCTTAACAGTTTCCTCTTTAAGATTAGATTCATGAAGGTATTTTTTTTCCAATGGGAAGTGAACAAACAGCACCAAAATCGTCGCTATCGAAGTGTCCAACTTGTTATTAACTGAACCTGCAGTAGCCAAACATTTCGATATGAAACGCAACGAACTAGCAGACGTCACAAACAGAAAGATGTTCATTTTTTAGAAATATCCTGAAGCATGTGTACTTATTGTATGTATGATATTATATGTCATCCTTTGAATGTGAGAAAATTAAAACTCATCAAATTGTTTTGAGAGAGCCTTTCTTCAATTAGTACAGATTGTTTGACAGTTCCTATCCTTACCTATTTCAATTAGTACAGATTGTTTGACACTTCCTATCCTCACCTATTTCAATTAGTACAGATTGTTTGACAGTTCCTATCCTTACCTATTTCAATTAGTACAGATTGTTTGACACTTCCTATCCTTACCTATTTCAATTAGTACAGATTGTTTGACAGTTCCTATCCTCACCTATTTCAATTAGTACAGATTGTTTGACACTTCCTATCCTTACCTATTTCAATTAGTACAGATTGTTTGACAGTTCCTATCCTTACCTATTTCAATTAGTACAGATTGTTTGACAGTTCCTATCCTCTCCTATTTCAATTAGTGCAGATTGTTTGACACTTCCTATCCTTACCTATTTCAATTAGTACAGATTGTTTGACACTTCCTATCCTTACCTATTTCAATTAGTACAGATTGTTTGACAGTTCCTATCCTTACCTATTTCAATTAGTACAGATTGTTTGACAGTTCCTCTCCTTACCTATTTCAATTAGTACAGATTGTTTGACAGTTCCTATCCTTACCTATTTCAATTAGTACAGATTGTTTGACAGTTCCTATCCTTACCTATTTCAATTAGTACAGATTGTTTGACACTTCCTATCCTCACCTGTTTCGATTATTACAGATTGTTTGACAGTTTCTACCTGTTTCGATACAGGTAGATTTGGTGACAGATCCTATGATCATCATCTTCTTCGATTGAAAAAGGATATTTGACAGATCGTTTGACAAAGTAAATCCCCATCGACAGAACCCATCCTCATCCGTTAACATCAGAACAAATTGTTTGAAAGACCCATCCTGATCTGTTAACATCAGAACAAATTGTTTGACAGAACCCATCCTCATCTGTTATCATCAGAACAAATTGTTTGACAGATCCATCCTCATCTGTTACCATCAGAACAAATTGTTTGACAGAACCCATCCTCACCTGTTAACATCAGAACAAATTGTTTGACAGACCCATCCTCATCTGTTAACATCAGAACAAATTGTTTGACAGAACCCATCCTCATCTGTTAACATCAAAACAAATTGTTTGACAGACCCATCCTCATCTGTTATCATCAGAACAAATTGTTTGACAGACCCATCCTCATCTGTTAACATCAGAACAAATTGTTTGACAGAACCCATCCTCGTCTGTTATCATCAGAACAATTTGTTTGACAGAACCCATCCTCACCTGTTAACATCAGAACAAATTGTTTGACAGACCCATCCTCATCTGTTAACATCAGAACAAATTGTTTGACAAAACCCATCCTCATCTGTTATCATCAGAACAAATTGTTTGACAGATCCATCCTCATCTGTTACCATCAGAACAAATTGTTTGACAGAACCCATCCTCATCTGTTATCATCAGAACAAATTGTTTGACAGAACCCATCCTCACCTGTTAACATCAAAACAAATTGTTTGACAGATCTTATCGATTTCCACGTCAACTTACTTGATGGAAAATCATTTAGCTGAATCTGTTCATTTAGTTGAGTCTGTTTCTAGCAGAATTCAGTTGAACAACTCTAATTCGATAAAAAGTTTCTGTGACGGGTTTTATGCTGAGAGACTCCATAAGATACAGGTCTGCGGATGTGTGTGTTCAGACATGTAATATGTTGGAAATGTAAAAGCGTGGGCAAGCTACATTACATAATTCAATCAAGGTAATCAGGCGTAAAGCTTCATTTCATTTCTAGAACGACCCATATGTCCTTATTAGCCTGATGATTAACTGTCTATTTATGATATGATGAGGCACGGAGATCTCCCAGTAGGGCTATAAAATTGTAATAATGTTAATTACCTTTCAGATTGACATTCATTTTCCAACCACGTACGTATAGACAGATCAGATTCACATTGCTAGAGATAATGTGAGGGGTAGGTTGAGATTTTTCAACCCGGTTTCCCCTTGTCAGTGAGGCAGGTGAGAGGGGTTGACATGGCAATAGCGTCTAGTCGTTCGGATGGGACAATAAGCCGAGGCCCCGTGTGTTACAGGCTGTGCACGTTAAAGATCCCTCGTAATCGAAAAAGAGCAGGCTAATGCCGCTGCATGACCTGCCAAATTTCCGTCATTGCACCCTGCATGGCGTTGCCGGTCTTTATTAGCCCATATGGTGCAGCAAAGTAGGACGTAAAACTCCATTCATTTCATTTTTATTTAGTGAATATGGGAGGAAATTATCGAAGACGAAATTAAAGACAATGCCTTTAATTCATTTATTCCAACATCGTAATCTTATTGCAAATAGTAGGCCTACTATCGTTAGGCCAGCATAAGGATTTAAATGTACACGTACTTCTTCGACTATAAAAAATAGTAGATCACGTCCAAATACGCCATATTATTCGGCTTCGATTCTGCTGGTGGAGCAAACTTTCTTATTTGATCTAATTTGGATCAAAACGGTTGACACGGAAGGTACATTTTTAAACCGTCAATCAACGTTTTCTTTCGACCTACATGAAAACTGGTAATCTGTCTCCTTTTCAACGTTTTCTTTCTTCTTTTAGCTTATCTGGAGTGAAAGGGTACCAGACACTAAAGAGTGTGCATGTAGTCCCCCCCTACCCCCCATACAAAGGTATTAAGTGTTATAAAGAGTATAATTGCTAATAACATCGCAAAGTAACTGTTTACACTTCGATATAGATAGAGAGAGATTTCGGACCGAAAGTCGCATTTACTACTGAATTATTGATATTAGTTAACAATACCTAATTATAGCTTATACTCAGGCTATTAATTATTAGTTAATTATCACAAATCCTCGGCAGATGGGATGTCTTCAAATCGTCAACCTAATCTGAAATAACTCTCAGAATCCTGAACCTTTTCTGGCCATTATGGTATCGGAAACGGAATATCCAAATCGAGGCTTGAAGTTGACTATCGTCTGCTAGAGTATTTACAATATTCATTGACTTATTCAACTTGGAGATAGCAGCCGCCAGTTTGATACTCGACCGGAAAAATACCAAATCAACGCAATTGTCTGTCGACATCGAGTGTGACAAAACCTAGCCCGGAATACCATTAAATTTTGATGTGATACAAATTTCAAACAGCTCAATTTAACGCTCTGCAAAATAGTGAATGGTAGCCTATTGGCCTACGCCGAACATGTGATGAAAATATTTCTTATCTGACAGCTAACACTTGAATATTGCATTATCAATTTCAAACGTTATATTATCTTAGTATCAATCTAGTTTTAAATCATATCAATTTGATAATAGTTAGAAGGTGTCACTCAATATTGAAGAGACGTAAGGTGTTTTTATCAACCGCTACTGTATATTTAAAGGATTAACTCTCTAAGCTATTTTGTTACAACCATGCTTTTAACGACTGTTTCATTTTAACATGTTTACTAATAATATCGTGTGTTTGTTTGAATTTTACATTCTGATAATAACTTGGAAGTATAGTTCCACTGTCAATGCCGACACGGATGTATTCCTGTCAACTGGAAGTAATGGAACCAATGCGTCACTTCCGTGTCCGTCTAAATGTGTATGCAGCAGAGATAACGTGAACATTCGCGTGGATTGTTCTGGAAAGAATTTAACCAGCGTTCCACAGAATTTTGACAGATATACAACACATTTGTAAGTTTCACATTTCTATTTGACCATATACTGTATCACAAACACAGTTACATACACATACAAAACGCCATACTCGTTGGATCTGAATATACTCCAAATATTATGGGCAAGCCATTTTACCTAACACCACAATACAATTAGCAACAAGTGGATTTGGTTGTAATTCTTTTCAAGAGTTCGATGTCATTCCCATGAGGTCCCACAGGTAAATTTCCATCTATTAATAGTTACGGTAATATTGGATCACACCGAAATTTTAATCCTTTATGAGCACCATACCAATGTCATTTTATAGCCATTGCATGAACTATTGTTGGTGCATTTAGTAGGATAGGTAATTTGAATTTCTACTCTTCAAACTCATTATGAGTGTTATGTCTTAATCGAGCTATGATGATATTGAAGTCCTTGCAAAATAAAACATTAGTATTTTTTGGACATGCTCTCTCTAAGGATTTAAGGACCCTACGACTTTGGCCAAGGATAATATAATTCTTCATCTAATTCTAAAAAACTGATACCCCGTCCAAAACTTATTTGTATTCATTTTCAAGGCATCTAATGACATTTAGAAATGATTAATTTAAATGCAGAGGTAAGCGTGATTATTGGAATTATTTATTCTTTACCATTCTCGACTGGGACAAAAAAAAATCACGTATATAAATGCGTGTACCATTTGTAAATCGTCACAAATCGTCTAAGTTTGAATGGATTACGCATCTTTTTTATGACCTCATAACAGACAAGGATTATTCTGCAATCAACAAGTTCAATATTTATGTAACCTTTGATCTACAAAGGTCAATTTATGAGATTGAATTAATCTGGTATCTGATGTTCTTTTATGAGAACTGCTTTTTAATGATATATCTACTAATGAATCAATTTGTATAATGTATTGAAAAATAAGCTGTAATCCTAAACTATGACTAATAATTTAGGAATCGTCATGAAAAAATTAATTATAATATGTACCTTTTGTCTATGAAAGCGAAAAAGAACTGTTTCAATTTATGATGACTTTAAACACCAACTGAACTTAAACATAAAACTAATAGGCTAAACTGAATAAAGGACACCAAACTAACAAAATATCCTAATAATACGACGTTCAGTGGCTCAACTACCATAGAAACAGGCTGAAACAAGTCCATCGGTAAGAAAGGTTTGGGAGCCCTTCTCCAAGGCAAAAAATGCAGATCTTCTGTATAAATAAATAAATTCCCGGGGCGGAGTCCCACCCCAAATAAGTCCACGGCCCTCCACTCATCTAATTTAGCCTCTGAAGACATGGCGATGATGTGTAAATTCGTACAACAAACACATGTAATATATTTCAATACAACACAAGACTAAACAATGGCACACACGTAATTATGCGACACACATCTCAATCAAATGGAGCATTACAATACAGGTTCGTCCATATTTATTACCACGAGACATTTGCAATAATACAATTCATTTGTGGTATATACAATTTATAAAAAATTATAATGAACAAATTTACATGCTTTCCAAAAAGTGTACTCGATTTCAAATTTATGCATTCTATATTTATGCTTTGTATCAGTTAAGTCAATCTGTACTACTAAATATACGACAAATGCATATTATATGCAAACGTGTGCTACATCCATTTTAAAATTTTTTCTCTCAATTCCTTTCAATGTTTAATATTTGTATTTCATTTCAAAGACGTCTAAAAACGTATTTCAACTGCAATTGAATAATTGTACAAAATGCCCACTATAAAATTAAACAATAACAGAAATAATAGAATTACTGTTATCTGGATGGAAGGAGGTCTCATTACTTCCAGAAGGCGTAGACGGTTGGATTCGGGCAATTTCTAACTTTTCTTGCAGTATTTATTCTTGCCTCTTGCTAAAACCTACGATTTAACATTCTAGACGATCATTTATGCATTGTCAGGCGATATATTAAATGATTTGTGGCAATTAAGATATACCAGCTGCCCTAAGGGACTGTTAAACTGACTGTCCAGCCACTGAGGCCTAGAGCTTATCTTGGTGGAACTAATAAGACTTCGTCTACCATCATTAAAACTGAGATATGTATCCAGTAATCGCTGAGTGATAATTTTTATAATAATTTTCCAAGAGAATAGGCGTATGTCATCGATATTGGTGTGGTGATTTTGAAGTCATGATGATTATAAAAGCATGACAACACATTGTTATACGCCTCCATTGCTGAGGATGGTCGCCTGCAAATTAAAGCTCTGAAAATCTCCCATTTTGGTGTCGCAACATTGCCAAGCATTCTTTATTTTCCGAAAGAAATGAATGGAGTTTTACGTTCTACTTTTTCTGCACTATGTGAGCTAATGGTTCCGTTGATTCCCTGTGGCCGTGTTAATGCAAGATCTAAGTGATAATAGAAAGCATTCCTTCTGTCTTTCTTCCTTCACCAAACCAACTTCTGATGAGCTAAGCGTCTTTTTCTTACTATACCTGCACAAGCGTCGATGCCCCACCCTAAACAAACTGCACAATCAATACTCTCTTACTAGAGGTTAAGCCTACATGCCTGTGACTGTCCTTTCGTAACCGTTTAAAGGTACAGGTCCGCCACTTTCGATCAATCATACTTTAGTCTCAGAAACGGGAATTTTTTTAGCTTAGCAACTCAATAATAAGTGTTCACAGTTTACCGTCGAAATTTTAGCTTTCGAATCCATGTGTGTCCCGAATTATCCGCGTTTGAAAGTTAAAAAGACGTCCTTTTGAAACATTGCCATATATAAAACGACATCTATAGAAATGAGAAAAGAAATTCGCCTAATCTCAGATATTTTTGAAGGAATTATACGATTTTCGTACATTTCTTGTACTTCTGAAAACTATTTACATACTACATACATACATACAGACTAAAATCACCCCCCCCCCCC